GTGGAACTAGCCTCGTGAGACCATCCTGATCTCGCGAGCTTTCAAGGTTTCACTCGCAGATCAGTCTGGAGACTCTCCGTTAAAGAAAATTTGGAGCCGTTCACCAAACGAACGTCCAATCAGCGTTGGCTTTGAGGCGGGTTGAGGTGTGACGCAACGAGAAGCGCGACAGTTCAGTCTAAAGAACATGGCGGCTTCAGCCGATGAAACTAGCGTTAGCGTGGCTATCGAGCAAGTTTTATCGGAATTACAGAGTATTTCTTCACTGAAAGAAGAGCAAAACACTGCTCTGGAGGCTTTTCTCAGAGGAAAAGATGTTTTTGCTCTTCTCCCGACTGGTTTCGGCAAGAGTAGCCTGGCTTGTGGTTGTGTTTTCGTCGTCGCTCTGTTAGTACATCATATGCTTCGTTGATCTGATTGGTTTATTTGGCCCGTCTATCACCAACATAGGCCAATCAGCTAACCAGTATTTTCGCCCCTTCCCAAAATTACTTCAACGGAAGGTTTCCAGATGGATATGCGGAGCAAATCCATCTGGAGGAGTCAGGTTACTGTCGAACGTCTTCCTGCAGCCAAAAGCTACACAGGGAAGGATTTTTACTGAGTGTCTTCTTCGGTGTGGGGAGTACCAATATGGCGAGCGGTGGTTTCACTTTTTTTGGGCCATCAGCAATCCAGTGAATAAATAAGAGATCAGTGGCAGCTAAGGATTTATGTTGTGTTGAAATTAATAAGATTAGAGGTTGAGAAATCTAATGACGATTACAGCAAACAGAATAAGCAAACAAACAGCGAATGAGCAAAATAACCACAGTTACAGTAGAATAAGCCCTAAATAGATGCTACTTCTGTTATGACTTTTTATTTACTTCATTTTCTGTATTATATCTGTTTTTTTGTTCATTCAAAAAGAACTGACTTGATGCAATCAGCTGGTTTTCCTTAGATAGAAAACTTTGAATCAATCTGACTGGATGATCTGGTGAACTGGAAAGTGACCTGAGATGAATTAGAGTGTTAGGTTTATTCAATGATGATTATAAAATTAATGTGTGCTTATGAAACATTTGAGCAAGGGGACGCTCCACTGTGTCTTGTGATTCAGTCAGGAGACCATCCTGCCTTGTCATTCTGGTGGAGCATCCTGTCTTTATGAACTGATCAATTGTTCTGTCAGAACAATACTCTGTTTGTACCCATGTGTTATGTTCTGTTAATAAAAGACGGCTGCAGGAGACGATTCGGAGAAAGAAAGCTTGAAGTTGGGTTGGGCTTTTTCTTTCCGCTCCTGCAGAAGCTGCTTGAATCTCTTTCCTGTGTAGGCCCAGTTTCTCTTTTACAAACCTACATTTTCTGAACCTAACATGGAGCTATAGAAATAAACTGAATAGAAGTTACCTTATGACACTGAACATGTTTGAACTGGAAGTTTTACACACACAAAAAAATAATTTAATCTGAATGAAAGATTTTCATGTTTTTTCGACCAATCGAGACATTTCCTGTAAATAATCAAAGGAGTTTTATTTAAACCAGGACAAATTTAGAGATGTAACTGAATGATTTGTAAGATCGTGGCCTTCTGATGGAGAGCAGGCAGGACGCTGAGTGTCACCAGCTGTTTCTGTTCGGCAGCTAAACTTTAAATCATAACCAGAACATTGGGGCCACATGGGTCCAAAGTGAGGGGTGGTCCTACCAGAACTGGTTGACCCGTGGGAGGATGGTGATGGCTCTGTCCCAGATGTTGCGAGCGTGGTTCACCTGACGGCTCTTCATCTCCATCTCGGCGTACTTCAGCCATAGAGTGATGTTGCGGTGGTCGACGTCTAGCGCTCGCTCGTAGATGGACCGAGCCCTGCAGGCAGACCGGAGAACAGGTTGGTCTGATGATCTAAATGCATCTTTCAGACCTCGCCGAACCGTTCAGCTCTGACGCTACACGTCAAATACATCGACATTTAAGACCTTTGCATTTAGATGCATACCGCTGGATCTCCTGCAGGCTTTCTTCCCATTGTGCGTATTTAATCCAGTTACTGATGACGGTTCGATTTTTCCTGATGTTGTCTTCAAAGCCCTTTAAAAAAAGGCAGATTCACAGCATGAGAAACAGCTTTCCTTTGTTTAGTCTGATGATAATCACGTTTTAAAAAGTGAGGTAAGAACAGTTTAACTGCATTAATGAACCGACCTTCCTCTTCTTCAGCTTGTAGTCGTTGAGCTCATCCTTATCAGTGATTTTCTGTTTGGGAGGTGGAGGCAGAAGTTCCAGCTCCCTCTCTTTGGCTTCTCTGAGCAGCTGCTCGGCAGTGATCTGAACCTCCGCAGGAGCTTTATTCTTCACCTGAAAACACAAACTGCTTTAGAAATTTGCACCAGGAGGTTTTCTGTGTCTTTACGTCATAAAAAAAGCTCAGACACAAACACCATAAGCAGGGATGAAACAATTGATTTATTATCACTATTGAAAAAACTGTCCACTAATGCATCGATCAAATCACTGTTAACTGGAGCAAACAGGCTAAATAATGCTGAATGAAGCTGAACGGAACCAAAAAATAACCCAAAAACCTGCTTGGTCTGTAAATAGGATCCATCCTGATGCCACTTTTAGCTTCACCTGCTTTAAGTTCTGGAACAAACATTTTAATCTTGACATCAACAACAACTAAGAAAATATTAGACCCTGGAAACCATTTTCAATACAGCAGGGATACAAAAATTACAATTAGAGGCATAAAACTATTTTCTTAATGTGATAAACTCCCATTTTTAATCTCAATATAAAGCATGAGTTTTCTCAAGAAACGGCGTCTAAAACGGCCTTAAACTATCTGAATGCATTAAAAAGGTGGTTAACCCATTTAAATCTTCTCATTTACAAGCATAGCTGCATATATTTTTCCCCCCAAAAACAACTATTTTCAAAAGCTTGCAGAAAAAGTGCACATTTTTTAATTGGTAAAGTTTTCATATAAAATAATTATATCTAAGGCAGAAAGTAGTATTTGATTAATCATTAATGGGAGTATAGTGACTGTAAAACCTGCCTTTAGCTGACAGAGCGACCTACTTAGGGCAGGAATTATACCAAGTTACAAATAAATATATAAACATTTGGCATTTAAGATTTTTGTTCACACAGGGTGTATACAAAACGAAATTTGGTTCAGTACAGCTCTCAAGACATTTCCATTTCTCAAAGTGGGGGGTCATTGATGATGTCACGGGCTCGGGACACGCAGCGCTGGGATGAAATGTCTTTAAAGAGGAAGAGGAGCTCTCTGCTGTTCTCACCTTCTTCCAGTGGACCTCACCTCACCTTAGTTCATAACACTAGTGATCTATATATTATATCTCTATACTCATTCAGTAGAACCCATGTCCTGTATTTATGGAACCATTATTCATCCTGCATTTGCTGCTATTGCACTTCTGGTTAGACATAAACTGCATTTCGTTTCCTTGTACCTGTACCTGTGTAATGACAATAAAGTTGAATCTAATGTAATTATCAAATTAATCAAAAAGAAAAAGTTTATTTTATATGTTCCCCCTCACTCTGCACCTATTTCTCTCTCTCTCTCCCTTTTTTTATCTCTCCAGTCATCTTATGTATATAATACACTAAGAATAAATGAATCCTCCAGGGTTGAGTAGCAAGGGAGGCGTTATATTGTAAACATTAATAAAGATAATCGACAGATAAATCGATCTGCAAAATAATCGTTTGTTGCAGCCCTAATTATATTTTTCAATGATTCTATAATTCTACTAATCCTATAAAGGGCTTCAGACATCCATTATTTTAGTAATCATAAAACAATGATCAAAGGTTTTATTTTTACTGGTTTGTTTGAATGAATGCTGTCAGTTATTCTTTTAGCATATAACATGTTTCAGATTCTGTGTACCACGAATCTACGTCATGATCAGATAAAGGAATTGGTGGTCTACTGCTTTGGGCATAGAGCTCGCGGTTGTGAGTTCAAGCCCCACTTCCACAGACTGCCACTCTAAGCAACCCCACACTGCTCCTCGGGAGCCGCACAATGGCAGCCCAAGGGGAGGGGTTAAATGTAGAGATTTCATTTTGTCGCTACAATACACTGTGATAGTATAATGACAATATAAACACTTTAAAAGATGACCAAGTTAGTTGGAAAATATTTTGGGTCCTCACGACTATTTCCATAATGAAACAGAGCCTGACATGATGATAGATGTGTACAAATAATACTCCAATCTTTGTCAATTGCAAACAATTAGCAAGTGATGAAGGATAGTTATGATAAATATGACAAATCAAATCCCTTCCTGCCATCATCGCAACACCTTCACAGTGGAAGAAAGGACCTCACCTATTCAGCCAGGCCAATTATTCCCTCTAACGACCCCCTTTCAGAGACATAGACAGGTATGGGGCATTGCAGGCTAACAAAGCAGCCAAACGACCCCCATTCCAAAGGGGGGGACCCGTTCATCCGTTTCTATTTGCATGTTTCCACCCAATAAAACCTGGAACTCAACATTATTTCTGAGATTTTGAACTGAAAAAATCTTCCTGGATGGAAGAGAAAGTTCTTCAAACTTGGAAACAAAGTCCAGTGGATTGTTTATTAACTTTATTTTGAAACGACTATCACCTGGATGACTGTGAATCTTCACCAGCAGGACAAACCAAACAATTGTATTTATGGGGGCGGTTAAATAAATAGTGTTGAACATTAAAACAGCAGAATATTCCTTTATTTAATTCGGAGGCTAACATTAGCGTTATTGTGCCATGCTACCGGAAAAAGTGATAAAAAGTGATTATTTGATCTTATCAAACATCTTAGAGCCAAAACCCGAACTTGAATTAGTAGATTTCTAACAGCTTTCTGCCAGCAGAAAATCAACAGTTTATCAAAACCGCCAGAATTCCCTCCATGTCTTTAGCCGCTGTTAGCATCAGACGCTCGGATGCTAACCTCCCTCCGGGGTTCCTTACCTTCGCAACCTTCGGGATGCGCTGCTTCCCCGCCGCCGTTGACGCCATGTTGCCGGTGGCTTCGACCGAGAACCGTCTCACAACTTTTGACAGAAAACACCAACACCGGGAGCAGGTTTCTCTGGACACACCGCCAAACGTTTTTTGTGTCACCAGCAGACAGCCGCCATGACAATACCCACAATGCCGCGCGGTATCAAAGTATCGCGAGAGGATTCTCAGCCGAGCGGTTGTCCTGGCAACGTATTAAACGGAAAGCAACTGAACAAGTTTAGAGAGGAAAACGAGAAAAAACTGAGGTTTAAAACACCGAGGAGAGAGAGAGCGTTCAGAGACAATCAGTCATTTAACTTTTTATTTTCCCCAATGTCTTATAATCTCACGAGAGGCGGGAAAATGATTCTTTCGGCCATGAAACGGGAAGAACTGATCATTAGAAGGAGTCAGTCAGAGGATGCTCAGTGGATCAATACGCTGATCGGGTCCGCAGAAGAGGCGGTGTTTGGACGGATCGATGTCATCAATCTGCTGTGAGGACGGTCCTGTTTCTCCTAAACCTCACACACTGATCACTGATTTCCCATCTATTCACTAAAACAGCCTCTTTTAGCTTTCCTTCCTTTCATCACTGCATTTATTGGATCCATCTAATCAGCCACACCTGAACCCGCTTTATTATTGACCCAATTAAACACATTCACACCATGATGTAAACGTTAAAAATTAAAGTCTGCTCATATTCAGAATTCCAACTTCTAAAAGTGCTTTAAAATTAAATATTTCCATCCTGTTCAATAAATGATCAGTGTTTTTAATTCAGAGTAATTTTCATGTGAATGTGCTTTACTGGAGGCATCCATGTTTGTCAAAGAACACTACTGCCACCTACTGGTTTGTGACGTCACAGTGCTGTATCGGCTGTTGATCAAGTCCCAGTGCTGTATCTGGTGCCTTACCGGACAGGCGAGGGGAAGCACGGTAAGGCAGGTGGGGGAGGAAGTATGGGGCCAAGGCTACCATCACCGCTCCGTCCCCCGTCCGCCGGGGTTCCAAGACCAGCCCCAGAGCTGACGGCTGTAGTGGACCAAAACCCCGGACGATTTTGAAATCCCCCCCGGACATTTTTTTAGGTATGAAAAGTAGGACATGTTCGGGAAAAAGAGGACGTCTGGTCCCCCTACCATATCAACAATCTGATTTTTCAGTGAGTGAGTGCTTGTTGCTATGATGCGTCTTTGCTCAGCAGCTTGGCTCGTTGTAAACCAACCAATCTAAATATTCATGATCAAACCATAAAAGGAAGGAAACCTGTCGTTTCATTCTAGGGCTTTTAACCAGGCTGCATTAGGGCTCATAGAACAGCTAATATGCCATTTTCAGCCCAACCGATGTTACACACCCTATTAGAGACCTGGAGGACCAGATACCCTATAGAATCATTCTATCACCCTATTAGAGACCTGAAGGACCAGATACCCTATAGAATCATTCTATCACCCTATTAGAGACCTGAAGGACCAGATACCCTATAGAATCATTCTATCACCCTATTAGAGACCTGAAGGAGCATCACCAGATACAAAATCATTCTATGACCCCTTTAAACTTGGATTTAACTCGTAGAAACCCCAACTTGGACCTATAACATGTAGTAAAAATGTAATACAATGAGACATGCCTATTCTCAAGCATGTTCTCTATTACCGCTGTTCAAAAAATACCTATTATTGTAAGAAATTAGAAGGTGTAGCTTTCAAATGATGCATCACACACAGAATTTGGGCTTAAAGTTCCCCTGTTATTTGCTTTTCCATGTGGGTATGCAAAATAGGCGAGGATTATCCAAATTTAGGTGGGTGTTAAGAGGTTAAATGTCTGCATGTCCACTTCCCCTCTCAGCCACTGAATCACTCTGATGGTGATCAAAGAACCCCTCCAGCTGAATGTAGATGAAACACCACTTAGGACATCATCGTCCTAATTTCCTCGTAATGTTCTAGTAACCATGCGGACCTCTGAGTGCCGCCCTGTTGCAGGACTTTATGTTTTGTGTCTGTTTACGTACAGAGATAGGGCAAGCCTGGCCGTGACTGTGTCCAGCAGGGAGGACGTCCTCCTGGCTCACGCCTCCTTCTACGACTATCCAGCTGCAGACGTGGTTGATCCTGGAAGCTGGGAAGGCTTCCTTCACACACACTTCAGGGCTAACAGATGCACAGTGGGTGTTATGCTTAATTTCCTTATGTTCCTAACAGAGCACTTCGCTCTCAATCTGCAGGTTTACTAGTGGTTCCTAGAACTTCTAAAAGTAGAATGTGAGGCAGATCTTTTAGTTATCAGGCTCCTCTCCTGTGGAACCAACTACCAGTTTTAGTCCGTGAGGCAGACACCCTGTCTACTTTTAAGGCTAGACTTAAAACTTTCCTTTTTGATAAAGCTTCTAGTTAGAGTGGCTCAGGTTATCCTGATCTATCTCTATAGTTCTGCTGCTATAGGCTTAGACTGCTGGAGGACATAGGGACCCCTTTTTCATCATTCTGCTTCATTCTATCTCTATTCTCCCACTCTGCAGAATCTGTTAGTTCAATCTCTAACGTTCTGCTCTCTCTGCTTTTTCTCATAGTAGCTTCATCTGGTCTGTTCCTGTTTGGCTGTGACTCCATCCTGGAGAGAAATATCAGCTGTGCTGCTGCCATCAACACCTTTGTTTCTAGATGTTGGAGCTTGGCCTGTTTTCCAGTGTAGTCCTGTTTCTCTGACTGTGACTAACTGGATGTGCTCTCTTCATCCTCTGACATGGGAGCTGGCTCGGAGCTCGTCTGCCTGGCTGTGTGTTTCCTGGACGGGGCCGCCTGTGGAGCTGGTTGCCTTTTGTATCTATGCTTCTTTTTCTATGTCTGCTTCTGTCTCCTTGAACCCCAGTGGGCCTCAGCAGATGGCCGCTCACACTGAGCCTGGTTCTGCTGGAGGTTTCTTCCTGTTCAAAGGGAGTTTTTCCTCTCCACTGTCGCTACAAGCATGCTTAGTGTGAGGGATTGCTGAAGAGTCAATGAGTCGATGCAATCAGCTGGTTTTCCTTAGATAGAAAACTTTGAATCAATCTGACTGGATGATCTGGTGAACTGGAAAGTGACCTGAGATGACATGATGTGAATTGGAGCTATAGAAATAAACTGAATAGAAATGAAATTCTGGGATCACTGATTCTCAGGTTGAAACTTCTCATCTTTATGCTATGAAAAGGTTTCATACATTGATTTTCATGCAGGAACAATGTTTGATCCGGCCTGACCCAACAGGCAGGAAATATTGGAAATGTTTTCTTTTAAAAAAGGCGGAAAACTCCTGAAACTCTGGAAGCTTGAGCCTGGAGACGTCTGGAATGTTGACCTGAGAAACATCTAGGAAGCAGATTCCTCATAATGTTCTGACTGAAGAGCCTGCTCCTGTTTCATCCCTTCAGGCTGTGAACTCCCTCTTCCTGCGTCTGTTTGTGTCTGAGTTCGGCGCGGCTGCAGCCAGCATGGAGGAGATATTAAGGTCTGATGAACGGCTGGAAGATCAAACCCAGACTGTGGATCTAAAAGGTTAACAGGTCCATCCTGATTCATTTCTACAGGACCGTCTTCAGAAACACAGAGGAGCTCGAACACATCCTCCTGCTCTGCCCAGGCAGCTGTTCTTTAGGTGAGCGGCGCCTCCTTCTACTGATGGTCGTTGATCAAACTCTGCTTTACGACATCTGTGTGCAGGGGGGGGATTTACCATTAAGCCATACTAGGCAGTGGCCTAAGGCCCCAAGTTCCTGGGGGCCCCCATAAAACTCTGTTTAAATGTATGGTTAATACAACTATTCCTTATCTGTGCACATTAATTATGTTTTTGATAAAATCCTTTTCCTAAAATGCCATCAGAACGCTGATAATATTAAGTGCGTCTCAGCCCCCCCCCCCTTCAGTGTCCTCCATATTGGATCAGTCCATTTGCTGCACATGTTCAGAAAGGTCCAAACAGACAGCAGCAAACCATTTGAAAACAAACGATATAAAGAGCAGTGTTGCCAACTTAGCGCTTTAGTCTTTTCTATGTATTTTCTTCTCAGTTCAGAGGGCCCCCATGCCTGTCTTTGCCTAGGGCCCCAGATTTCCTAAATCCGCCCCTGTCTGTGTGTGTGTGTGTGTGTGTGTGTGTGTGCAGAACGGGTCCTGGAGAAGTTTGCGCCGCTGCAGCGTGTGAGCTACCCCGGGCCTCCGTGTTCAGGTTTTATCTGCAGCAGAGAGGATCACTGTCAGCGGCTGCATGTACGCAGAGCCAGGTGAGCGCGGCACAGAACCACAACCTTAATCAAGCATGACTCATTTCCTATGCAGGGCGGTTCGGACGCTTTTCCCTTCATTTCCAGGTCTGGATAAACACAAACGTGTTTCCTGAATATCTTCCGCCGCTGGTTTATTAAGGATCATTTTGTGAATTTAAACACAGTTAATTAGAATTTCACCAAAATGTGATTAAATGTATTAAAAAGGGATTATAATCCTTGAATTTGCTCTCACTGAATAATATTTACAGTACCGGCACTTGGTATCAGGTCAGGGCTCCTTTTGAAAGATTCACTGTGGTTCTGCTGCAGCATTCATTAAACCCGGCTTGTTTTGATAGCGGCCTTCAGGTCATCTGCAGCATTGCTTCTGGTTTTACCAAGGCTGCATTCATTGCTTGAGTTTCTTTTTCTGAATAGGTTTTCCTTCCACTCATTTTTCCCTTGCTCTGTCCATGAACAGTCCGTCTGAACATTCCCACTGGCGGAAAACCTGTTTAAACCCGGGAACAGTGGCAGTGGGAACAGCTCACTGACCCGTGTCTACCCGGGTCAGACGAATGCATCATACGGACGTCATCACACCGCGCCAGTGTCTTCTGATCTAACAAGATGAAATAAGTCTGTTTCCATTTGATAAACATGGAGCAGCTCTGGTGAGAGAGATTCAGACAGATAATAGAGCGAAACAATGACTACGTCCTGGCTTCCTTCCATGTTGCTCTGCATTGTTTACTTTCCTGATTTCCTGACCACATAAATTAGCGGGTTAACCTGGCTCTGGTGTTCCCACAGCACGCCAATAAGAGCTAAGGGGATTTTAACTCGGGTTGTTTGCCGAGTCATTTCACCCAGAAGACAAGCGTCATTGAGCTGTTCCCAGCTAACCTGACTCCGCCAGATGGATTTGCTCCGCATATCCATCTGGAAACCTTCCATTGAAGTAATTTTGGGAAGGGGCGAAAATACTAGTTAGCTGATTGGCCTATGTTGGTGATAGACGGGCCAAATAAACCAATCAGATCAACGAAGCATATGACGTACTAACAGAGTGACGACGAAAACACAGCCACAAGCCAGGCTACTCATGCCAAAACCAGTCGGGAGAAGAGCAAAAACATCTTTTCCTCTGAGAAAAGCCTCCAGAGCAGTGTTTTGCTCTTCTTTCAGTGAAGAAATACTCTGTAATTCCGATAAAACTTGCTCGATAGCCACGCTAACGCTAGATTCATCGGCTGAAGCCGCCATGTTCTTTAGACTGAACTGTCGCGCTTCTCGTTGCGTCACACCTCAACCCGCCTCAAAGCCAACGCTGATTGGACGTTCGTTTGGTGAACGGCTCCACACTTTCTTCAACGGAGAGTCTCCAGACTGATTAGCGAGTGAAACCTTGAAAGTTCGCGAGATCAGGATGGTCTCACGAGGCTAGTTCCCAGTTCCACTAAAAGCCCGTTGTTCTCGGGTTTAAACAGGTTCTTTGGCAAAAGGGAAAGAGGTAAATCAAATCTGATTTAATCTGATTGTCTCACCAGCTAAACAATAAAGCACAATTTTTACGCACTGGCTTCCTTCCATGTTGCTCTCCATTGTTTACTTTCCTGATTTCTGTCGCATTGCTGACATCATCAACTCTAACGCAGCGTGATGATGTCACTAGCGAGCAGCGATGGGGGAACAGAGGCCACGCAGCTGCCAGCGAGGGGTTAGGAGCCAGATGCCGATTGTTAGCTGGTTGACCCATGTTTGAAGAGCGCGCGTTAACCCGCCATTTTCAGTGGGAAAGAGACTTATGAAGTCCTCTACATCACAGGTTCCCAAACATTTCAGTCTGGGACGCAAAAAATAAAGATGCAGCAAACTGAAGAGCAGAATTAGTTCTCTATATATTCAGTAATGCAGATAATATATATTTTTGTTAAAATACTTTTAGTTTTGAATGATATATTATTATTCAAATTTTAAAAATTAATTGTTTTTTATTTATTCGACATTAAATAATTTAATTCTGCATTCCTCAATTAAGCGTTATGCATGAATAATTGAATGTTAGATCTGCATATTTTATGATACCTTTATGTATTTCATGAACTATTTAGACCCTGAAAATCCTCTTGGGACCCCCACTTAGTGTCTCATGTCCCCCCAGCGGGTCCTGACCCCCCAGTTTGAGAACTCAATGATTTTGCAGAGCAGAACATTTAAGATCAAAATCATGTTTCTTTCTCTCTCATCATTTTTATAACATCTGAATGTTATTTAGTTTGCTATAAATTAACAATCAAGTCAAATGAGCAAAGATAAATCACAATTAAAAGTATATTATTAATGGATCAATAGATGAGCAGAACCAAACGTATCTGAATTCAATCCTGAAAGAATCAGGTTTCAGCTTCAGCGATGGAGGAAACTAGCTGATAGTGAAACCATGTGTTCAGAAGGTTTCCTTCTGGGTGTTCCTGACCCTGGAGGGAAGAAGTGTGACCGGGGGGTGGGGGGGGGGGGCAGCCTGCAGGAACAAAGCAGCTGACAGCAGCTTTATCTCATCTGGTTTCACACCTGCAGCCTTTTATCTGCCGCTGCTTTCACTGCCGGGATGAGCTGCTGTTCTCCTGCACATAGAGCTAGATCTACGGAGTCAGAAAGGGGTCAAAATGTTGGTAAACTAATAAATCTGAGTAGAAACTGAAAAAATATAAGTTCATATTGAATGTCAAATTTTTACCTTATAATCTGAGAAACTAAAAAAGCATATATAAAATAATAAGAATTAAATCTAAATTCTTCTCCTCAGCATGAAAAACTCATAACTTTGTTTAGTATCTTAATAACACTTGGTCTCTTTTTAGTTCGTTTCTTTATTGTAGTTTTAGATGTAAAATTTTTAGTCAAATCCCTCTCTTTAGTTTTCTATTTCTTTCCAAATTCATTTTTTCGTTTTAGGATTTTTTAAATTTTTTTTTTTACACTTTAAAATCAGTTGTTTTCACCCTTGCATTTTGACCCCAATCTGACGGGAGGGGGCGGGGAAACATGATTGACAGCTTGCAGCAGCGCTGCAGCGATGCGCCGTTCCATGTTGCAACATGGATGCAACATGGAACGGGACATTTGATCACTGCTGCACTTAAGGAAATAGACATTTTCAGTTTACTGCTAGGCTGCAGCTCATTTACGTTCTGAAAGCTGTAAGAAAACAAAATTTCGTTTTTTTTAAACCCATGTGCATAAAAAACGATATTAGAAGTTGTCTAATGTCTAAGTCTGGGGTCAAAATCTGAAGGTGAAAAAAAAAAAAATAATTTAAAAAAATCCGGAAACTGAAAAAGCAATTTGAAACAAAAAAAAAAACAAAAACAAAAAAAAAAGAATGAAATGGATTTGAATCTGAAAATATAAAATCTAAAACTGCAATAAACAACAGAAATTTAAAAAAAAAAGTGTAATTAGAATACTAAACTGAATTTAGATTCAATTCTTATTATTTTAAGTTTTTTTTTTAGTTTCTCCCATTATAAGGTAAAAACTTGACTTTAAATATCAACTACTATTTTTTTCAGTTTCAACTAAGATTCTCAAGTTAACAAACATTTTGACCCGTTTCTGACTCCATATAGAGCCAACAGGTGGGATGTTTGTGAGCTAAAACTCTGTCGTAGCTTCAACCGCAGCTGTAACACCAACGAAAGGCAAAGAAAATGTTTTGGAAATGGAAATGAAAAAAGTGCAATCCAGAAATAAAACTTAGAAAAATGTCTCTATAAAACAGATTTCTGTTTTTTACACTGTTATACAAATGGCCTTTTCAATTCGCATTTTCTACAGATCGCTGTTGACCCCTGGGGGGGCGGGCTTTACTCTGGGGTGGGGGACCAAGGCAGGTTTCTATTGGTCTGCTGGATGTTAGTGAAGCCTCTGTTATTGGTCAGAACCAGTGTTTGGATTGGGCTGAAAAAAAACTGAAAAATTTGAAACAGAAAATTAAAAATCTAAAAGCTGTAAAATATGTAACATAAATAAACTTTGAAAAAAGAACATTTAAAGAAAAAAAAGCTCCAGTAAAGTTACTTTCAAAACCTTTAATTAAGAAGTCATTCAAAGTTTCCTCTTGCAGCACGCTTTCTTGGAAATAAAAACGGAACAGAATTTACTCCATACCATCAAAACTTGAAGGAAAGAGGAACAAATGTTTGTAACCAGTAGAGGGAGCTGTTTGACAGGATTACTCTCTACCACTGATATCTATTTATTGCTGATTGCCTGTTGGTAGAGCGGGGTTGAAGTGAAGCCACCAGCCGCCATGTTGGTACTCCCTAGTTAGACCGGTCACAATGTAAACAAACCGTGTGCAACGATGATGTTCTCATTTTCAGGGGGACTTAAGACTTTTAAAATAAAGATAAATTCATCACTTTGACACCGACTGGCTGTTTAATAGCATCAGTAGATGCTATTAAACAGCTTATAATAAAAAACTTATAATAAAAAAATCAGCCCATCACATTGAAAACTCAATATGAAGTCAATGAATTCTATAAATCATGTAATATAACATATTATACAAATCCATCACAATAAATGTAATGTGTTAATGGGGCAGAATAATACAGATGAGCCAAAAGTGCTATATTGATGATGTACATGTATTTATTACATTGTTATGGTAATTGCATATTACAAATGATTTTAACTTTTTACATCCAGACTGAATTAAATGCACATGTCTGTTAATTCTCTAGTATTTTCCTATTCGCAGATTGTACATGCATGATGCCATATACTTTTATACTGGGTCTGTGCATTAGCCTTTTAATCTGACAGATTTACAATAGAGCTAAATTAATGAACCCATTTAATAACTCCACAGAGCCTCAGTTTCTACACTAGAAAAATCACATTAATTGGTCAAATAACAGAAAACATCAAGTTCTTTTTTAGCTTTTTGTTCTTAGTTACAACAAAAATCTGATAATTGGAAAAAAATATACATGCAAGAATGTATCCACTGACTGGAATTACCTGTAGATCTTCCTGCAGCCAGAAACTGCTGGTTTTTGCAGCCAAATGCTGCACAGATAGGGAGTGGGGAGTACCAATATGGCGGCCGGTGACTTCACTTTTTTCAGGCAATCCAGTGAATAATTAGAGATCAGTGACTGACGCTCCAGCACAGCAGAGGGCGTTTCCTGACTGACCTCTGATGACCTTTGACCTTTATATTAATGTTAGGCCATCAGCTGCAGGCGGGCGCTCACAAACAGGAAGTGAGAAATAAAACAAGCGGCAGGCAGTGATCGCAGAGGAGGTAACCTTCCTCTGATGCTCCTCCTGGACAGAGGCAGCCGTTGCTGAGCAAGCTCTGCACTGGTGGCACTGCAGTCCTGTAGAGACAACCTGATGTCTGAGCCTCTCCGCTGAAGTTCCTCCAGCCGGTCCAGATGGACTCGTTAGACGCTTCACCGTATTTTTTACGGACCTGAAACCGGGTCAGAAAAGTGAAGCTGTAACTGTGCTGTGTGTCTCTGTGCTACAGGGCTGCGGATTATGATGACATCATGCTGATGGTCAGACGGCAGGAGACGGAGCTGCCGGCACTGATGGACTTGATACAGAACCAGAACTGCCATGCTACTCTTCTGGAGGTCCGTTCCTCTCTTTCTATGTGATCTCTGTAGAAATGTAAGAACAGCAGCGGTTCCCTCAGGACCGGACCGGACAGAACCGCCTTCCCGGCAGACGCTCTGACTGACAGCAGCAGATGGCGGACTGACGCTCGGCCAACGCACGCTCCCAATGAACATATGGAGTCCAGACAGGAGAAGCATTTCTGGGCTCCTCCAGCGACTCTGCTCAGAACCGCAGGGGCAGCACCGTCCCTGGTGGTTTGGACCGCTCCTCGGCGCTCCACTTAGAACCTGTCATTTCTGAAGCAGGTTAGAGGTTCAGAAAGAATCACACAGCAGAATCGAATCTGTTGATTCGGTTCATTCCTTTAGAGACAGCATGAAAAGTCAGCTGAGTACAAAACATAGAGAAGAAAAGGGACAAGAAGAGAGGGACACAACCTAGAACAGATAATGGATGTCTATTCTATTAACATTTTTCTATCTGTAGAAAGGGTCTGTTCTATGTGTTGTCTTCTCCATTCAGAGGGGCCCCCTGCCTGTCTTTGCCTAGGGCCACAAATTTCCTTAATCCGCCCCTGCTCTCCAAGTTTCTAAACCATTAGAGACGTTCCCATGATGCCGATCAGGAACATTCAGGAACCGGCGCAGGAATGAGAACCCATTAAGAGAAAATCCTTGAAGGTGACGGGTTCTGGTTCTGGTTTTCTTTTTGTCTCCAAAGGACGAAGGACGCGTCGTGGGCTTCATCACAGTTACCTCTACGCTTCATGAGGAGCTTCTGCTGGACAACTTTGACCTCAGCCAGTTTGAAGGTTTCTACAGTGAAGAACAGCAGAGGGAAGAAGAGCAGAATCAGAACCATCAGAACCAGGTAACGTATCACAGACGCCGCTCTCAGCTGGAGCACTTCAGAACCAGGATCCATCACGTCTGCCGTCTCTCTGCAGGACCAGCAGCGTCCCACCTGCCTGGATCCCACCGGGCCAAACTGCTTCTGCATTCAGCAGTTTATAGCTGAGAGGGAATTCCAGAGCAGGTAAACACCTGTTAGATGCTAACCTCAGTTAGCATCTGACTGGGAATGCGCTGAGGAGGATGAACCTCCTCGCTGCAGAATGATCAGAGCCTCCAGGATAGGTGCTAAACCGTCCGCTAAAAGTCCAGTTGCCTCCAGTTTAGTGGTCGCCGTGACCCGGATGACTGAGAATTCAGGGTGGGATCAGGATTCCTGTTTCCTGTTCAGGGTTGGAAGGTTGGTCCAATGGATCTCCTCAGGTGAGGAATGTCGGAGCTAACCGGACCAGAACAGCAGACCTCCCAGTCCACCATGTCCTCCTCCATCAGCAGAACCAGCACCAACGCGCGTCTTAGTCTGGGTTCGGTCCTGGTCCACTCTGCCTCCCAGTGATTCTTCAGTTGACAGAGGTGCTGCTCAGTTTCCTAAAGACCCCATATTTAAAGCAGACTGAGGTCTGGACTTTGACTAGACCGTTGGGATTTATTCCCAGAAGCAGCTTTTTAACCTCACTCCTGCAGCCATTTTAGTGCCCTTTTCTCCTTCAACCAGCCAGACATTACTTACATAGACGCCTCACTGGATGCTGTCGGCAGCAAGGTCGATATGCCTAGAGGGCGGCCATCTTGGGTCAGACCACAGTTCAGACGGCTGCTGTCGGAATGAACAGGAGGCGCCTTAGATCTCATTTTAATCCCACGGAAAACGAGTCAGAGATAATATTACAATAATCTCTGACACGTCACAACCCCTTAAAAGCCCAAAAGAAATTTTAAAATTACCTTTCAGTTAGATTACACAGATTTATTCAGATTAAAACCTATTTAAACTGAATGAGATATATGCAAAGTTATATATTTTGCAAAAAAATATTAATGATAAACACAAAGTTTTATATTAATATATTGTAAGATCATTTTTTAAATCGTGTTAACTGCTAAAATTTGTTTTGGGCTTTTAAGAAGTTGTGAAATGTAAGAGATGAATTTAATATTATCTCTGACTCGTCTTTCATGTGATTAAAATGAGATCTAAGGCGCCTCCTGTTCATTCTGACAGCAGCTGTCTGAACTGTGGTCTGATCCAAGATGGCCGCCCTCTAGGCATGTCAGCCAGCTTCCAATGAGGCGTCTACGTATATAATGTCTATGAGCCAGATTGGCTCTGAGTCGTAACCTTTGACCTTTACCCCCTAACCCAGGTGGAGTTTTTTTCTTTTTTTAATTAATTTTTTATTTTATTTTATTTAACCAATGTACGTTACACCAGGTACCAGTACAGAACTGCATTCATTGCATTCAAAGAAAGTGCATAAAGCATATCTGAATACAGAGGAAGACCAAATATAAACAGAGAGGGAACAATAATAATAGTAAAAATAAAATAATAATAATAATAATAATAATAATAATAATAAAAGGGGAAACATTATATTATACATAGATTCAAGAACAGGGCTTTAAACCAGCAGATTAAATTTACTCACAAAAGAAAGAAAATTACCAGCACTTATTGTTCTTACAAATTCTAAAGATTTAACATCAGATTTTGTCTCATTTTTCCAAAGAGATAAAACTGGTTTACATGTTAAGTAACAGCATTTGTGTAAATAAAATTTAACTGATAAAATCAAAATTATGTTCAATTTTTGCAATTATACCAAATTAAGCTGCTTTTAGGGTAAAATCAGGTAATTGAATTTCTTTAGGCAAGGCAAGGCAAGGCAAATTTATTTGTATAGCACAATTCAGTACAAAGACAATGCAAAGTGCTTTACATGATTAAAATACAGGAAGATTAAACAGAATCAAAGCAAGTAGGGAAAAAAATAAAATGAAAAATGCAGAAACAAAAAAGAATATTAAAAACAGGTAGACTAAAGAAAATATGTTTTAGTTGAACTGTTTAACTAGAACAGTGGAAGGAGATCCTAAACAAATGTGTTTTTAGTCTTTAGATTGGATCCACATCAGAAAATCAAGCCAAAAGCTTTGGACTACAGAACAACCAAAGAACAGCTGTTCCAGACTTTCACTTTCAGCCTCACAGAAACAACAGTTTTCAGTGTCAAAATTTAATTTTTTTGCTTAGAAATTCGTTAGTAGGATAAAATCTGTTAATTATTTTAAATTGAATTTCCTTCATTTTTGGAGGTATGATAGGAATTTAGTTCTGATCATCTTTTTTGCTTCCACACAGAAATCTTTGAGAATATATTCTCTCTTTATGTGGTTGGAAGATGAACAATATGTCAAATAACACCTCAAAAATGTATTGTTGCATCGAGTGCTGAAAAAATGTACATCGTCTATAAGAGATTAGTTTGAGCTTTGGAGAAATATCAGAAAATATTATATCTTGTCTAATCATAGCCTGAAGAGGTAAAGGGAATGTTTTTAAGATCTGATTATATTTACTCACATTACACTGGATTTGATACTTTTTACAAAACTCCTGATGAAGTGACAGGTTATTGTCCATGAAATGAGAAACAGCCCATATTCCTTTTTTTTAACCATTCGTTCATAAATATGGATTTTTTTATGACTCAGAACGTATCTATTGTTCCAACCCAGGCGGAGTTCTTGGGTTTCTTTGGGCCTGAACCTTCAGGGAATTCCACGTTGTGGAAACCTGGCAGCTGTCCAAGAAATTGTTCCTCTCAGGAATCATGACAGACTTCTGATGGTTTGGAGTTGACCTTTGACCTTCCCAGCGCCTCACCTGAGGAGGGGAGCATCATCATGATCAGTTCTTCTGGTCTGCGGCTCCTCAAACCGAACCTCCGTATCCAGAGGAAGCAGGAATAACGTGAACAAGGTGGAGAATCTGTCGAACCTGAAAGGCCGTAGATGTTTCTCCTCTCCGTCTTCCCCGTTGGGACGCTGTGCGTCTGCGAGGCGGCGCCCTGGCAGCGATGGTGGCAGCCATCCAGAGCCCTGTCCGTCATATGCTGGGAACGCTGGGAGAGCGGTGACTGTTAGTTGGCTCCCGCTGTGCTCCTCACCTCCCAGCTGTTCCTGAATATGGCGCAGAGGCGCTTCCTGCAGAGACTGAGCACGTTATTAATGAGCGACCAGCTTAAAGTGACAGAGGGCTGGAGCTGCGCACAGATTGCTCCACCAGTTGTTCCTCCACCATCATCATCATCACTTTGGCTCCTGCCCATTTCTTCTCTAAACTTTAAATTCTTCTTCTTCTTCTCTCCTTACAGATCAGCCGACTGTTTCCCGTATTTGTTCCAGCTGTTCCCTGTAAGTTTTTTTTTAAATCTTTAGTTGGGAGAGGGCGGTGGGGGAGGGGGCCCAGCAGACATGGAGGTCAGGGTTCTTCTCTCTGACCTCCTTCCTAAGAACCTTCTGTTAGATAAAGACCAATGGAGACACTGGAACCCTTTATAGAGCAAGTTACCATTTTTGATGACCTTACAAATGGAGTGCCATTTCTTTTACTCTCAGTGTTTTTATGAATTTCTCATAGAAGCACTTTTGTTATTTTTTATTAGTATATCAAGCAAGTTGCCGTTTCTTGTAATTACATTGACATTCTTTTATGCCATCAAAATATACATATTTTTTTAACTTTACAAAGGTAATAAGGTCTTGTCCTGGATTCCAATAAAAATTGTCATGAACCGCGGACAGATGGACCCAGTATTCAAGGAGAGACAGCCAGTAGGAAAGTTCAAAAAATGTATTAAATAAAACAAACTAAAGTGGAGCTGTGGCTCGCAGGCACTGCAGGATGGGGAGCGGGGCACCGCCCAATCTCAGACACAGGTAAGTGACCACGATCATCTGACAGAAGATGATGTTCTCAGTGAGTCACTTACCTGGTTTAGCAGATCAGTCCATACCCCTTGAGAGGGGTGCAATCCAGCCGATGGGCTGACAGCTGACGCGCGAGTGTCACCAGTGCTGCAGCTCCAGAGGAGTTGCAGGAAGCCGATCCTGATCAGGGATTCAGATCAGGCAGGAACAGAACAGGTAGCAGGATCCAGGCTTCCAGGCTAAAACAGAGCTCCGGGACAGGTTCAGAGTCTGACTGGGACCAGAAGCAGGACCAGGTGGTCACGCACAGGAGCAGACAGGTATAGGTGCAGATGAGCAGGCTTAGTGGAAGAGGGTAGCCGAGACAGGACGTGGAACCGGAACTTGAAGCAGGACTTTAAACCGATCTCCTCCCTGGAGCCAGGCTTACTGGATAAAAACTGAACCTCCCCCCATATTGAGCCAAAATCCCAGAGGACTCCGCAGGGGAGGAACAGTGGATGATCAGGAGACGACACAAACACTAAAACCCTCTTTCCACTGGCTGCTAGGATCCAGGACATGAACCAAGAAATAAACTGAACAGACAGACTGACAGAAAGACAAGTAATGATCTGGCCCTGAATGCTCAGGCTGAACTGAATATAAACCAGAGGAAACAGGTGAGAGGAATAAATTATAATTGAGGCAGGGAGGGAAAACGACAGGTGAAAGGAATGACTAATTAGGGAGGAGCAAACAGGCCAGATCATGACAAAAAATTATCTTTACATTTGTGAAAATGTCTTAAAATAAGTGTATTTACCCTTAATTTGAGAAGGTAAATAAGAAAATCTCCGAGCTGAAGGAGCATTTTTATACTTAAAATGTGATTATTTGATATTGTGCTCTTGAAATAGGAGACTGCATTTTTTCCATTATTTTAAATGTAAATTTTCTTATTCCATTTGCAAAGTGTCTCACTTTCCTGCTCAGTTCAAGAAAAAAATGCACTTATTTTAAGAAAAACTGACTTACTTAGATTTCAGTTTTTCGCAGTTTACTCTATAAAGGGTTAAATGAAGAAATGAGTCAGAATGTCTCATTAAAGGAAAAAAAATGTAAGTTTCATGTTTCCAAAGTTTTTTCCAGGCAGTGAACGGAGCATTCTGCAGAACTTCCAGTTTAAGTTCCATTTAATGCTGGTTTGATTGGGATCAATAAACAGAACCTCATGCTGTCTGGATCAGGGTCAGAGAAGAAGAACCTTGATTTTTTTATGGCTCTGCTGTATATATTTTTTTTCCAGGACCTGGATTATTGTTTGATCGCCACTCCATCTGCAGGTCCAGAGTTCCCCTGGTTACAGAACTTTGCCCTGGTGCCACCGCGCCCTGGCACCTCGTTGCTCACCTGTCTCTACATCCTCCATAGGTCCAGATTCAGGTGGATTCCTTTTTCTCTCATTTCATTTCCTGTTAGGTAATCTCAGATGTTTTCTGCTCTGGATCCTCTTATATGCTTCAACACTTCTAGAGCGAGTGGAAATGAAAGACATTCCAAAAAACCTGATAACCCCTGGAACTGTAATCTGCGCTAAACAATAATCTGCTCTGTACTATAATCTGTGCTGAACTATAATCTGTTCTGAACTATAATCTGTTCTAAACTATAAACTATTCTAAATTATAATCTGTTCTGAACTATAATCTAAGCTGAACTATAATCTGTTCTAAATTATAATCTGTGTTGAACATTAATCTTTGCTGATTATAATCTGATCTAAACTATAAACTATTCTAAACTATAATCTGTGCTTTACAATAATCTGTTCCAAACAATAAACTGTTCTGAACTATAATCTAAACTGAACTATAATCTGTTCTAAATTATAATCTGTGCTAAACTGTAATCTGTGCTAAACTATAATCTGTGTTGAACTATATTCTGTTCTGAACTATAATCTGTTCTAAATTATAATCTGTGCTGAACTATAATCTGTGCTGAACTATAATCTGTTCTGAACTATAATCTGTTCTAAACTATAAACTATTCTAAATTATAATCTGTTCTGAACTATAATCTAAGCTGAACTATAATCTGTTCTAAATTATAATCTGTGCTGAACTATAATCTGTTCTAAATTATAATCTGTTCTGAACTATAATCTGTGCTGTACTATGATCTGTTCTAAACTATAAACTGTTCTAAATTATAATCTGTTCTGAACTATAATCTAAGCTGAACTATAATCTGTTCTAAATTATAATCTGTGCTGAAATATAAACTGTTCTGAGATATAATCTGTTCTGAACTATAATCTGTGCGGCTGTATCTTCCATATCTCTTGAAGGAGTGTTGATGTCAGGCGAGCTGTTCCTGCAGACCGACAGCCCGTCTACGACCTGCTAAAAACTTTGAATGTCACCGGATCAGTTCTGGAGGACCTGGACTCTTTCTTCAGGACGCGCAGTGACCCGGTTAGTCTGTACACAGTTATTCAGGCTGACTGGGTTCCTTTGACTCCTTTTGCTGTTTGGCTGCCAGCTCTTAGGCATGGCGGTGGCAACATCATGATGAGGTACAGGGAAAGGAAGCTCATCCTTAGACCAACAGCTGGACCCTATCTACCTGCTGGGTGTTTAAAACTGGACGATAATCTCAAACCAGTCCAAACTGGTTTAAATGGTTAACATTAATCTGCTGAAAGGCTCTGATCTCACCGCTGTAGAAATATGATATGATATGGCACTGATCTGTGGGTGTATGTGGGATTAAGACATGCATGTTTAACAGAACATTATATGGATCAAACAGAGAGAAATGAGATCTGCTTCCGAACCGTTCCCAATAAAGATCCGGTTTCAGTCGACATTAAACCTTCGTAAACCGGGACTCTTTAGAACTTCGAGTTTCAACATGAGAGCTTTATTTCAAACGGTTCTCTGTATCTGGACTGGAGCTCCGTGCCGATTGTCTGGGAATAATGAGGATTGGCACATGTGTCAGGGAACAGATTGCTGAGCATTCAGCTGATGTTTCTCTCTGACTTACACCCCAGCTGTCACTGTGCAGCTCCAAAAGCCATAATTACTTCTCGAACGAGGAAGCTGCTCCTTCATGTGTATTCATGGCTCATGATTGGTTCCGTGCAGATGTTCTGTTCCTTTTTGTGTTGCTGTTTGTCAGGATGGAGCTTCTCTGCAGGCCTTTGTTGCCCTGCTGGGCCGTCAGGTGGTCGGAATAATGATCCTCAGAGACGAGCAGGTAAACGTTTCTCACTGACTTTGGGTTGATGATGACGTTCTGGGGACCGACCGTCGGGAATGTTTGTCTTTAAGGATGTGGAGTACCTCCGAGCAAGCTACGACATCGATAAGCTGATCTGTTTCAGTCGCCATGGCTACGAGGAGCACGCTCACATCCGCCACTTTGTCCTGAAGCCCTGCTTCTATCACATCACCAAGCACTGGTTCAAGAAGGTTCTGCGGATGGCCCACAAGTCCTGCCTGTACCACCGGATCTACTCGCCTCTGCTCACAGAGGAGGTCAGTAAACTTGGAGCCTGATGAAGGCGACCCGACCGCAGGGGCCCGATGGGACCTTTTGTTTCTTCACAAAGGGCCTCAGAGAGCTGCAGTGAAGAATAGTAGGAGTGAGGAGGAATTTTAGAATAGAAGGAGGAAACGGAGAGAGCTGATTGGCTGATCATCATTTAATATTGATATGGAGAACAGTTTGACTAATGCTTAATAATAAATCAATGCAGCAGGTTGAAGGTTTACCTCTATGAGCTGATTTTATTTAAAAGAAATGTCCGGTCAGCAAGGAATAATCAATGGATCATTATCTATAATGAATTTAATGAACTTTGTGTTAATCAGTAAAATAAAAACAAAAATTTTCATTGCAATCACTGAGTCTGGGAGCGGCCATTTTTGCCCAAATATAGTAACCCCTCCCTCCTGCCATCTTCCCTGCTTCTCCCTGCTTTACAAGCAAAAGCAGAGGTCCTGTGTAGGCCGGTCCAGTCCAGTCCAATGCAGAGGTCCTGCAGGCCGGTCCGGTCCGGTATGATGCAGAGGTCCTGTGTAGGCCGGTCCGGTCCAGTCCAATGCAGAGGTCCTGCAGGCCGGTCCGGTCCGGTATGATGCAGAGGTCCTGTCCAGGCCGGTCCGGTTCTGCCCGATGCAGAGGTCCTGTGTAGGCCGGTCCGGTCCAGTCCAATGCAGAGGTCCTGCAGGCCGGTCCGGTCTGATGCAGAGGTCCTGCAGGCCGGTCCGGTCTGATGCAGAGGTCCTGTCCAGGCCGGTCCGATTCTGTCTGATGCAGAGGTCCTGTGTAGGCCGGTCCGGTCCAGTCCAATGCAGAGGTCCTGCAGGCCGGTCCGGTCCGGTATGATGCAGAGGTCCTGTGTAGGCCGGTCCGGTCCAGTCCAATGCAGAGGTCCTGCAGGCCGGTCCGGTCCGGTATGATGCAGAGGTCCTGTCCAGGCCGGTCCGGTTCTGCCCGATGCAGAGGTCCTGTGTAGGCCGGTCCGGTCCAGTCCAATGCAGAGGTCCTGCAGGCCGGTCCGGTCTGATGCAGAGGTCCTGCAGGCCGGTCCGGTCTGATGCAGAGGTCCTGTCCAGGCCGGTCCGATTCTGTCTGATGCAGAGGTCCTGTGTAGGCCGGTCCGGTCCAGTCCAATGCAGAGGTCCTGCAGGCCGGTCCGGTCTGATGCAGAGGTCCTGCAGGCCGGTCCGGTCTGATGCAGAGGTCCTGTCCAGGCCGGTCCGATTCTGTCTGATGCAGAGGTCCTGTGCAGGCCGGTCCGGTTCTGCCCGATGCAGAGGTCCTGTCCAGGCCAGTCCGGTTCTGTCCGATGCAGAGGTCCTGTCCAGGCCGGTCCGATTCTGCCCGATGCAGAGGTCCTGTCCAGGCCAGTCCGGTTCTGTCCGATGCAGAGGTCCTGTCCAGGCCAGTCCGGTTCTGTCCGATGCAGAGGTCCTGTCCAGGCCGGTCCGATTCTGTCTGATGCAGAGGTCCTGTGCAGGCCGGTCCGGTCTGATGCAGAGGTCCTGTCCAGGCCGGTCCGGTCTGATGCAGAGGTCCTGCAGGCCGGTCCGGTCTGATGCAGAGGTCCTGTCCAGGCCGGTCCGATTCTGTCTGATGCAGAGGTCCTGTGCAGGCCGGTCCGGTTCTGCCCGATGCAGAGGTCCTGTCCAGGCCAGTCCGGTTCTGTCCGATGCAGAGGTCCTGTCCAGGCCGGTCCGGTCTGGTATGATGCAGAGGTCCTGTCCAGGCTGGTCCGGTTCTGTCCGATGCAGAGGTCCTGTCCAGGCCGGTCCGGTCCGGTATGATGCAGAGGTCCAACGGGCTCCTGCTGGTTATATCTGTCTGAAAATGGCTGCAGCAGGTGCTGCCGATGCTGCCAGCTCCACCTCACTGCAGCCCAATCCAACACTTCCTGTTCTGACCCCGCCCTCATAATGATGATGAAGCAGCTCACACAGGATCAGCTGCATGGACCTCCTCTCAGGACCTCATTATCAGCCTGGTTCACCTTTAGCTGTGCACCCTCTCCTCCTGCCCACAGACCTCCTGCTGCGTTCACCCCCTGGACTTCATCCTGAACCGGTCGGTTCCGGTCCGGCCTCGGCAGCAGATCATCTACCCGCTGGAGGAGCTTGGCACTAACGCCCCGTCCCGGCGGATCACAGAGGACCAGGTGGGCCCCAGCAGCAGCTGCCAGCTGAGATCAGTGGGATAGCATCTGAGCGTCCACTAGAGGGCGCTATTTCATGACGAGATGAACTGATCCAAATTTCAGGTTCACATTGTTCCATCAGCCTTTTAACCTTTAATAGGAGAACCTGCTGCAGCTTCTGCTTCCCCTTAAACCCATCTTTACACCTCTGATGCGGTTTAATCCAAACCAGATTTACCGACATAGCTCTGGACCAGATCAGAGCTGACTGGGAGAAACAGAAGGAGCGAGCATCTCATCATCTTTTCCTCTAATCCTCCTCAATCTCTTTGTGGCTTCCATCTATTTTACCGTCCTTCATGTTAAATCTATTCCAGACATCAGCTCTCCTCCTGTGACGCAGAGCTTCATCTCTGAGCTCAGCCTCCTCTTCCTCACAGTTTAACCACCTGTTCTCTCTCTGCCTCTCTAAAGGTGATGAGAGCAGCTGCACCTGCTCCACCTGACATCAGCCTTTACCTGATCACCTCCTCGCTGTTGGAGGCGTCTCATGGAGCTCTGAGGAGGTGCCGCTGCGGTCTCCATCCCACACCAGCTCAAAAATCCACTTTACTTCATTTATTTTTAGGGTGAAATCATGTTCTGATTTTCCCTGAAATCCTGTTAATTAACGTCTTTGGGGAAAAGATTTAGAATCCAGAATTTAACTTAAAAATAAAAAATTAAAGAATAGAATCACCAAAAAAGGTAAATATGAAAACATCAAAACTAAACAGAAAAAATACAATAAAATAAAAATTAATTTAAATAAAAGCTAAACCAAAAAAGACACCAAAATATGTCTATATAAATACATAAAACAAACAGAAAAAAAGGGACAAAAAAAAAAAAAAGATGATAAATAAAAACTAAACAGCACAAAAAAAACCCATAAATATAAAACTAGCCACAAAAAACAGGTAGGTCTCTATCAGACGGTGTGGTCTCTCTGTCTCTATCAGACGCTGTGGTCTGCTGTGGTCTCTGTCTCTATCAGACGCTGTGGTCTCTGTCTCTATCAGACGCTGTGGTCTCTGTCTCTTTTAGACGCTGTGGTCTCTGTCTCTATCAGACGCTGTGGTCTCTGTCTCTATAAGACGTTGTGGTCTCTGTCTCTATCAGACGCTGTGGTCTCTGTCTCTTTTAGACGCTGTGGTCTCTGTCTCTATCAGACGCTGTGGTCTCTGTCTCTTTTAGACGCTGTGGTCTCTGTCTCTATCAGATGCTGTGGTCTCTGTCTCTATAAGAGGCTGTGGTCTCTGTCTCTATCAGACGCTGTGGTCTCTGTCTCTATCAGACGCTGTGGTCTCTGTCTCTATAAGAGGCTGTGGTCTCTGTCTCTATCAGACGCTGTGGTCTCTGTCTCTATCAGATGCTGTGGTCTCTGTCTCTATAAGAGGCTGTGGTCTCTGTCTCTATCAGACCCTGTGGTCTCTGTCTCTATAAGAGGCTGTGGTCTCTGTCTCTATCAGACGCTGTGGTCTCTGTCTCTATCAGATGCTGTGGTCTCTGTCTCTATAAGAGGCTGTGGTCTCTGTCTCTATCAGACGCTGTGGTCTCTGTCTCTATCAGATGCTGTGGTCTCTGTCTCTATAAGAGGCTGTGGTCTCTGTCTCTATCAGACGCTGTGGTCTCTATCAGACGTTGTGGTCTCTGTCTCTATCAGACGCTGTGGTCTCTGTCTCTATCAGACCCTGTGGTCTCTGTCTCTATCAGACACTGTGGTCTTTGTCTCTATCAGACCCTGTGGTCTCTGTCTCTATCAGACCCTGTGGTCTCTCTGTCTCTATCAGACCCTGTGGTCTCTGTCTCTATCAGACACTGTGGTCTTTGTCTCTATCAGACCCTGTGGTCTCTGTCTTTATCAGACGCTGTGGTCTCTCTGTCTCTATAAGACGCTGTGGTCTGCTGTGGTCTCTGTCTCTATCAGACGCTGTGGTCTCTGTCTCTATCAGACGCTGTGGTCTCTGTCTCTTTTAGACGCTGTGGTCTCTGTCTCTATCAGACGCTGTGGTCTCTGTCTCTATAAGACGTTGTGGTCTCTGTCTCTATCAGACGCTGTGGTCTCTGTCTCTTTTAGACGCTGTGGTCTCTGTCTCTATCAGACGCTGTGGTCTCTGTCTCTATAAGACGTTGTGGTCTCTGTCTCTATCAGACGCTGTGGTCTCTGTCTCTTTTAGACGCTGTGGTCTCTGTCTCTATCAGACGCTGTGGTCTCTGTCTCTTTTAGACGCTGTGGTCTCTGTCTCTATCAGATGCTGTGGTCTCTGTCTCTATAAGAGGCTGTGGTCTCTGTCTCTATCAGACGCTGTGGTCTCTGTCTCTATCAGATGCTGTGGTCTCTGTCTCTATAAGAGGCTGTGGTCTCTGTCTCTATCAGACGCTGTGGTCTCTGTCTCTATCAGATGCTGTGGTCTCTGTCTCTATAAGAGGCTGTGGTCTCTGTCTCTATCAGACGCTGTGGTCTCTATCAGACGTTGTGGTCTCTGTCTCTATCAGACGCTGTGGTCTCTGTCTCTATCAGACCCTGTGGTCTCTGTCTCTATCAGACACTGTGGTCTTTGTCTCTATCAGACCCTGTGGTCTCTGTCTCTATCAGACCCTGTGGTCTCTGTCTTTATCAGACGCTGTGGTCTCTCTGTCTCTATAAGACGCTGTGGTCTGCTGTGGTCTCTGTCTCTATCAGACGCTGTGGTCTCTGTCTCTATCAGATGCTGTGGTCTCTGTCTCTATAAGACGCTGTGGTCTCTGTCTCTGTCAGAGGCTGTGGTCTCTGTCTCTGTCAGACGCTGTGTTCTTTGTCTCTATAAGACGCTGTGGTCTCTGTCTCTCTTAGAGGCTGAGGTCTCTGTCTCTATTAGAGGCTGTGGTCTCTGTCTCTATAAGACGCTGTGTTCTCTGTCTCTATCAGACCCTGTGGTCTCTGTCTCTATCAGACGCTGTGGTATCTGTCTCTATCAGACGTTGTGGTCTTTGTCTCTATCAGACCCTGTGGTCTCTGTCTCTATCAGACGTTGTGGTCTTTGTCTCTATCAGACGCTGTGGTCTCTGTCTCTATCAGACGCTGTGGTCTCTGTCTCTATCAGACGCTGTGGTCTCTGTCTCTATCAGACGCTGTGGTCTCTGTCTCTATTAGACGCTGTGGTCTCTGTCTCTATAAGACGCTGTGGTCTCTGTCTCTATCAGACGCTGTGGTCTCTGTCTCTATCAGACGCTGTGGTCTCTGTCTCTATAAGACGCTGTGGTCTCTGTCTCTATCAGACGCTGTGGTCTCTGTCTCTATAAGACGCTGTGGTCTCTGTCTCTATAAGACGCTGTGGTCTCTGTCTCTATCAGACGCTGTGGTCTCTGTCTCTATCAGACGCTGTGGTCTCTGTCTCTATCAGACGCTGTGGTCTCTGTCTCTATTAGACGCTGTGGTCTCTGTCTCTATCAGACGCTGTGGTCTCTGTCTCTATCAGACGCTGTGGTCTCTGTCTCTATCAGACGCTGTGGTCTCTGTCTCTATCAGACGCTGTGGTCTCTGTCTCTATCAGACGCTGTGGTCTCTGTCTCTATCAGACGCTGTGGTCTCTGTCTCTATCAGACGCTGTGGTCTCTGTCTCTATCAGACGCTGTGGTCTCTGTCTCTGATAAAATCTGTTGTCTCTGTGTCGTTTAGGCTCCGTTTGCCCTTAACCTGATCAGCAAACATTTCTGGATGGAGCAGAAGGTGCGGATCAACACCAGCGTGGTGGTGGTGGGGGCCTCAGACACGGCGCTGTCTTTACTGGAGGAGTTGTGTTTCTGGTGAGTCCTTTTGGTCTGACCTCCATGTTCCCCTCTGTCCTGCAGTACCTCTCTTACAGAAACCCTCTGGAGCAGCTGTCTCTTCCAAGTTTGCCTCAGACCAAATAGCCTCTAATTCCTCCATGTTTGTTTTTCACTGAGAGATGAAAATGTGCACAGAAATCACTGTTAGGGGAGAATTGGCCCAGTGGTTAGGGCATTGCACTTGGAATCCTGAGGTTGCGAGTTCAAGCCCCACTCCCACAGACTGCCACTATGGGTCCCTTAACCCCAGACTGCTCTCTGGGTTCCACATCTCCATAAAGTTTAGTTAATTTGCCTCGTCAGGACCGAGATCTCTGATGTTACTCCAGGTCTCTGTTGGAGCCTCTTCCCCACCGTGGGGGTTTGTGTTTGCAGTCCTCTAATAACCATTATACAGACTCTCTCTAGTTCCTCCCTTAAGCCTTGGTGTTTCTCCAGTTTCCTCGTGTGCAATGTTTGCTCTCAACGCTCTGATGCGATCTACCTGCTTACTGTACTGGTCTAAAAACCAGGTGGGACTCAGCTCCGCAGTGAGATGGCGCCACTCAGACTCGTCTATCTGGAAGCCAAACGAGTAGAAGAGGAATATGAAGCTCACTAGAGTGAAACTCGCTGCCTTGGAAATTTGTGCAATGTTGTGCTGAAAGCCCTAAAAAAGAAAAGGAGACGACGTATTTGGACAAAGACATGGCTGAGCTAACGTGGCTACTACAGTCTGTCAATTGTACAGAAAGAACTCCATTTCACTCATTGCACCCCCGCCATGCTGCTGAGTTTTCCAGAGAGGAAGAAGAAGAAGAATCCTTGTTTGCGCACTGAGCGATTTCCCTATGACCACCTTAAGACGGCTGACAGAATTTCAAACATGCTTGATTTTCTCCCGACCTTATGATTCCTGATGGGGAGGTGGTCGTTAGAGGCTGTTTGTCAAAGAACACTACTGCCACCTACTGGTTAGTGACGTCACGGTGCGGTATCGGCTGTTGATCAAGTCCCAGTGCTGTATCTGGTGTTTGTCACAACGCGCTATTATCCAAGTCATCTTGAAAACATTCTTCTTCCAAATGTTGGCTACATATTACGTGTTTTTCTCTGGCCAGAAGTTCGATGGCAAATCCTCCCTCTTCAAGTTGGCGATCCAACGACCAACCCGTCCGTGGAGGATCAGGAATCAGAAAGGTGGAATAACTCTTTTTTTCACTTTTACCCGATGTATTCCAGCATCCAGCTGCCATGCACGTGGGCATTGTCAGTTTCACTATAGCTCTGGTGAATTTCAATGGTGAAGTCCTCTGGAAATCTTCAATAATTGTTGTTGATTGCAGATGTGTCTAGTAGTTCCCATTGATTTAGCTTGGAAAGCGGGGAGAATGGCGCTAGGCTTACCGCACCGTGACGTCACTGCTGGAAGATGGCAGGAGGGAGGGGCTACTATATTTGGGCAAAAATGGCCGCTCCCAGACTCAGTGATCGTGACAAAAAATATTATTTAATTTTTTTTACCTGATGTATTCCTTTCAGGTCACGTTGGATTGTATCTGGGGCCTCTTTGCATGGCCTGACCTGGGATCCTGCCTGGTTTGGTAGATCTGGGCCTCTATTGCTGCTGTGCTGCTAGGATTTAGTCAGCTCTCTGTCGCTGGTACATCCCATGCAGGGGTTTCCCCCCCCCATGATGGTTCCTCCAGTGTCTCAGACATTCACTGAGCCCAAAGAGTCCGTAGAAGGACACTAAATCCTCTTTTTGGAATTCATGCTTCTCTGAAGGACAAAGGTCCCTTTAAATCCTCAAGCTTTTCTCCCTTTGATTTGCTGATTTCCCAGTTTTAGGATTAAATCTTATTCTAAAGTTAATAGTGAGAGAATAAGGCCAAGATCAAACCCTTCCTAAATGCTAACCCTAATCCTGACACCTCGGCCTGATTTACCTGCTGAGTGAAGAACGTTCCTGAAAGTCTCGAGCATCTCATAGAGACCTGCCAGGTGTCCTCAGGGATTTCTGCAGCTGCTGATGGAGATGTCAGCTTAGAATTGCATCCTGTGTGATAGAAGCGCGGCGCAGGGACGAGATAAACATCTGGCAGATGTTGATCCAAGAAATGTTTCTCTCTGCCACGAGTCAGAGGCAGTTTGACTTACAGGAGAGCTTCGTCTCTACTTTGGGAATATGTTCCCTGGAATGGTTCCTTGAGTCCACGGTGGACGTTTTGCATGCCGTCCTTTGTCCTCCCTGTGAGCCGAGCTGCAGGGCGGACAATGGGGAGCTGGGGGCTGCAGAGGAAGAGCTGACCGATAGCTGCCAGGCAACCAGAGCCGTTGTTCTGGGAGAGGGAGATATCAGGGAGCTGCTGGGGCCGGAGCAGGCAGCTGCGTGAGGCCTGCCGCTCAGCTGGTCCTGCTCCAGCCCCCGTTAATTAGCCACTGGTCGGGATCTGCGGCAGCGATCTGTGTTTGCTGTCTCTAATGAGCTGACTAATGAGGCCGTTAGAGTGATGCTGAGGAGGCGACACATTCAGAGGGTGAACTGTGGGTCAGCGCCGGCTGCTGAGGCCGTTTATCAGCTCCATCCAAACCTCCACCCCCTCTCAGCTTTCTAACCCTAAACTGATTTCCCTGAGCACCCCCCTCCCCTCTGTAGCTCCATCAGCGACTGGGTCAGGCTCGGACAGATAAAGAGCTGAGCGGCGGCTCGGTCCTCCGCCCGCCGCGGTCAGCCTGAAGGGTCACCGTGGCCGTCTGTCACTGTCTGATAACAGAACGGATCCAGAAGCGCTGATTCTGTCCCATAATGAGCCGTTATGCCTCAGAGCTGCGGCTCACATCCTTCCACCTTCTACATATGGGGAACACGGGTCCTAGCAGGGAACTTTATTGTTCCCAGTAAAAGTTAAATGGAAATTAATAAACTAAATATATTTTTTTAGTTGTTTAAAAAAAAAAATCCATCCATCCTTTTTTTCCTCTTTATCTTTGAGGCAGAGATGCCCAGACTTCCTGATCCACTCCCACCTCCTCCAGCTGCTCTGGGGGAGGCGCCACCAGGCCAGCTCACAGACATAGTCCCTCCAGCGTGTCCTGGTCCTTCCACCCGTTCTCCTCCCAATGGAACATGCCTGGAACGCCTCCCGAGGGAGGCGACCAGGAGGCAGATGCCAGAGCCTCCTCAGCTGGCTCCTTTCGACATGGAGGAGCAACGACTCTACTCCGAGCTCATCCCTGGTAACTGAGCTCCTCACCCCATCTGGAAGGGTGCACCCAGCCACCCTGTGAAGGAAACTCATTTTGGCCGCTAATATTCGCAATCTTGTCCTTTAATTACCCAGATCTCATGACCATAGGTGAGGGTGGGAACGTAGATCCATCTGTAAATTGAGAGCTTTGCCCCCCCGACTCAGCTCCCTCTTCACCACGACAGTCCGATACAGCGACAGCATCAATGCCGACGCCGCATCGATACATCTTTCGATCTCACGCTCCATCAGTCCCTCACTTGTCAACTCCGGGATACTTGAACTCCTCGACTTGAGACAAGGACTGTCCACCAACCCAAAAAAAATGTTAGTTTTTCATATTTTTTTTTCCATCTTTAAATTTTCAGTCATTATTTTGTTACATTTTTATATTGAGTTTAATTAATTTCATTCTTTTTAAAATGTGTTTTCTCATATCACGTGCTGTCCACCTCTGGGGGCGGGCTTTCCTCTGGGGGGACGAGCAAAGACGCATTTCTATTGGCCTGCTGGTCGTTAGCAACAACATTTTTATTGGCCAAGAGCGAGCGTTTTATTGTACGACGAGTACGAGTACGAGTATTAGGACAGAGAGTTTTTCATTTTTTTTATTTTGAGAATAAAGTCGTAACATTACGAGAATAAAGTCGTAAAATTACAAGAATAAAGTCGTAACATTACAAGAATAAAGTCATAACATTACGAGAATAAAGTCGTAAAATTACAAGAATAAAGTCGTAACATTACGAGAATAAAGTCATAACATTACGAGAATAAAGTCGTAAAATTACAAGTGATTACAGTGATCAGGCCAGAATCAGTGCAGAACCCATTACAAGTCTGGCCCTAAGACTCTGTCGTATTATTGGGCTTAAATAGAAGAAAATGCTTTTTTAGGGAGAGAAATTTGGAAAAAACAAAAAGTAAAATAATAAAATCTAAAAAAACAGCAAAGTTAATTCAAACCTTTTTTCTTATTAAGACTTTTTTTTCAGATTTTCATTTGTGGATTATATTTCTTTCAAATATCCATTTAACAGGTACTTTGCAACAATAATGGAACAAAGTTTACTCCATATATTTCTGATTCGCCTGTTCACACATCAGTAAAGCAGAACCTTTAGGTTCAGCTGAGGGTCAGAACCCAGATAAACGGATCCAGTCAGCAGAACCAAGCATCCGTCCAAGGCTCCGATTCTGAACAGAAACCAGTCCCCCGCCGCCATCAGTCCTGATGTGTGAAGCCTTTATTAGCGTTTTTTCTCTGGCTGTGCAGAGAGCCGCCAGGCGTTCATATTACAGAGAGCAGAGATAAGAGCGGAGCAGCAGGCCATCAGGCGATAAGCAGCAGAGCTGTAGCTGCTCTTATCAGCTGCTTAATGTCCTCAAGGCCACAACAAAACAGCTCATTTACATCACAGGACCGGCTGTCCTCTAGAGACAAAGAGGCGGGCCGCCTGTGAAGGATTGCTCTAAAAGGTCCACCTGGACAGATTTACTGCACAGGTTAACATCCTGCTGTTATGGTCAACAGACCAGGAGGAGAAAAGGTTTAAATTAGCGATGAAGCTGCAGGGTGGACTGATCAGAACCTGGTTCTGGTTCCATCCATGAACAGAAGGTCAGCAGAGAGTCAATGGTCAAAAGGAACGCTGAGCAAGACCTTTCATCAGGAGCAAAACTGTCCCTCTGGGTCCCTGATCAAGACCAAAACCCCAAACTGCTCCCTGGGGCCATCCATTGGGTCGCATGCAGAGGACAGATGTCCCCTCTGTGGGACCATTGATGAGGATTTCTGGACGCTCTATGGACAGTGACCTGTCCAGGGCGTTATCCGCTGCTCGCTTGGTGTCCCTGCAGGGACACAAACTGATATTATTATCCTAACAAGGGGCGGATTTAGGAAATCTGGGGCCCTCGGCAAAGACAGGCAGGGGGCCCTCTGAATTGAGAAGACAACACATAGAACAGCCCCATTCTCCAGATAGAGAAATGTTAATAGAATAGACATCCATTATCTGTTCTAGGTTGTGTCCCTCTCTTCTTGTCCCTTTTCTTCTTGTTTTCCTCTCTATGTTTTGTACTCAGCTGACTTTTCATGCTGTCTCTAAAGGAATGAAAGATTTTTTCCAAGCACTAAGCTCACTTAGCTGATTGCTCCTTCCTGTGTTTCCAAAAAGGCCAAAGTAAATAACCCAGTCCTTCTTTTCACTGTAGACAAGCCATGATCTGCTTATCTGTTCTCCATTTTTCATTTGGATGAAATAATAGCTGCATGAATCATGACAGCAGACAAGATAGAGGAGAGCAGGAGGCGGGGTTACCAATCTACTCGCTCTGGAGAGCAGAGTTCGCTGCTTTTAGATGTTGTCTCCAAAGTCTCCAGTAGCAGAAAAAAGTCTCTAGATTTGGCGCTAGGAGCTTTTTAGAAATCAAAGTGCTAGAGGGGTCTGAAAAGTGGCTAAATATAGCGACTAAAGCGCTAAGTTGGCAACACTGCTCTTTGCATGGTTTGTTTTCAAATGGTTTGCTGCTGTCTGTTTGGACCTTTCTGAACATGTGCAGCAAATGGACTGATCCAATATGGTGGACACTGAAGGGGGGGGCTGAGACACTGAAAGGATTTTTTATCAAAAACATAATTAATGTGCACAAATAAGGAATAGTTGTATTAACCCACCATTTATGGGGCCTCCAGGAACTTGGGGAAAATCCTCCACCATACATTTAAACTAAGAAACTGAGCCAAGCAGGTTGATTTTTCTTTTCCCTGTAATTACCGCCAGCTTTCATCAGATAGTATTTTTCCTTGCAGCTGGTTGCTGGTTAAAACACCAGCTCCTCCATGCCCACTATAGTCTGTCATGCCATGGTCAGTCCTGTCAGTCCGAGAGGACTGCCTCCAGGCTCCTTCTAACAGCTCCATCTTTAGGTCTGCTCTTCAATGCTGCTTTGATGATCTCTAACTGTTTTTCCTTCTCTGACGATCATGTCAGTGTTTCAGCTCTCAGAGAGACATGTAGAGGATAAAGGATCAACATCTTCAGTAAAACGGCTCGGATTTGTCTTTTTTTAACAAATAAGATCACGTCCTCTATTGATGATCAGCTGTTGTCTGACAGCCATGTCTCTGTTGACACTGGTTAATTCGGCTCCACCTTCTATTAAAAGCTCCACAACCTGCTGAGACCAACTTCTGCATTAGTCTGATGTCTGCATGTTCCTGGTTTTTATTTCTTTCTGTTTTGTCTGTCCGCTTCCAGCCCCCACCTGAGACTCACCAACCTCACCCTGATTTCAACCCATGGTTTCCCTGGAAAGTACGACCATCATCAAGTCGGATTTCTGTCCACGAGGTGCTTTTTGGAAGGATGGCAGTCGTGTTCTTACAGTAGCAGCCATTAAAAATAACCCTTTCCAGTAAAACGCCGGCCCAATGGCAGCCCACTCCCCCCCGGGACTCCCAGCCAAATCCCCTCCAACTTCCAACCACTGTTCTTCTCCTGGGCGTGCATTTTTTTAACTATGACTCCACCCTTTCACTGAACTACAGGGTCTGACTAGGAGATGGCGCTTCTCTTTAGATCTAAATGTCCACAAATCAAGATAGAAAGAATATTTTAGTACAAAGATTGATGCTTAAAAGGGAATTGTGGGGGACCAGCTAAGGGCACATCAAGGAAAGTGAGGACATTATGAATGCTTACTACTATATTTAATGCCAAGTTTATTTTGGTCCGGTTTGATTTAAACTCACCTCTATGTCACGTCGTGGTTGTAGTTAAGAGGACCCAAAATGCAGAATCAGAGAGTCTCAGGTGAATTCTTGTAGTTTTAATGAAAACACTAATAACAGATGCAAAATCCAAAAATCCAACTAAAATGTAACTCAGACCAGAACCATGGAGACATCAAGGGAAACGTGCACAAGGAGCCAGGGAGAGACGAGGTGAGAGGACAACAGCGACAACAGGACCAGCAACAACAAGGAACCAACAAGGAGTGACTGCAGAGGGAGAGTATATGTAGCTGACAGACAAAGGCAGGGCTAACGACCAGATAAGGAGCAGGTGCGAGGGAGCCAAAGGGAAAGGAACACACACACACAAGAGGGCAACAGAAAAACCTGAGAACTAACATAAATCTAGAAACTACAACAGAATAGTATAAAACTAGAAAACAAGGAGCAAAGTAAAGCACAACAGAACCAAAACCATGAAACTCTACAAATGTCTTTGATGTAACTTTAGTCCAAACTCAGGCTGAAAAATAACTTAAGTGAAGGAAGTCTTTATAAGATCACATATTTATTGGATTGGAGGATAATGTGATTTTAACAGCTGGTGTAGGATCAGCCGGGGTGAGTCCAGAACGCCTGACATCTCCTCTCCATCTCCTGCAGCCACGCCTTCAGCAGCAGAGGCCTGGCCCAGACCCCCCTGCTCTCCTGCATCCGTGTGATGGAAGGAAAGATGGTGAAGATCAACAGAAAGTCCAAATTCATCCTGGTTTCTGATGGGAAGAAGGTCCGATATGACTACCTGATCCTCTGCACAGGCCTTCAGTACCAGGTGAGACAAACTGTTACAGAGCAACTAAAAATACTGCTGCTGGAAATGCTCAGAAAGCACCAAACATAACCAAACCAACCATCGTAAGAGCTAGGCAGAGCACAGGAGAAAAATGTATTACAGTACTAGCCAATACTATTAAGTCTCCGTAAGCTACAGAGACTTAATAATAACTTCTCTCCAACGCATATCAAGGTATCTGACGTGTTCCAGACGAGCACTGAACGTGTTTCTAACTTCCAGCTACTGTATAATGGCGTATTGGCAGCGTTTTGGTATAAAGGGGGTTCACAGAAGGAAACCATCAGTTCTCCTCCAGACTTCATGATCCTGCAAAACTATTGCGGGATCTCGCCAAAGTTCTTTTTTTTCCCTCCATGTCCCTTTAGGGGCTCCATACATTATCAATACTCTATGCATACACACAAAATTGAAAAAATACATGGAAGTTCAGCATATTCCAGCGTTTTAGGAGATTCTGGGACGTCGGACATACGCGGCAACCGTAGAAGCCGTTCAAAATGTCCGGACTTTCATTGGTTGGCCCTTGGCTGGTCTTTTTTTAAACATCAATCAACAACAATCTTTTTACCAAAATATTATTTCTGTCATGATTTGTGGACATTAAGGCCTAAAGAGAAGCGCCATCTCCTGGTCAGACCCTGTAATTCAGTGAAAGGGAAGAGTCAGAGTAAAAATATATGCAGAGGGGGTCACTCCAATGGTTGCCATTTGGCTGGCGTTTGACTGGGAGGGGCCATTTTTAATGGCTGCTACTGTATATCTACATTGTGCTTTAATCTGTTCCTCCATCAATCCATCTTTAAATGTTTTGTGGTTCAGTTTTCTGAAGTCTAAACCGGGATGTTGCTGCAGGTCCCCTGTCCCACCGGGGTGGATATCACCCAGCCTGTTACAAACAGCCAGCTGGACCCCGAGGTCTTGGAGTGCAGCTTCACGGGGCCCATCCCCTCCAACCTCTTCACCATCAACGACCTCCATGACGGCATGGCCGCCCGCCGCTGGCTCCTGGACAACTTCCTGAATATAGAGGGTAAGTTGACCCCTCCTCCATCCAAAGCCGGGCCCTAAAATGAATCAGCAGCATGTCATTACTACGCCAGTCAACGCTGAAGTGCTCCGCTATAATTAGCCGCTAATTAGCTGAAGAGAAATCTTTCATCTCTGTGAATCAGGTCGGCCTCTTCCATCCATGTTTCCATTATCAGATCGGTGTCTGAGAGGCAGCGAGATACACAGAGTCATTAGGAAAATCAATCTGCTCTCTGAAGGAATTGCTGCCATCCAGAGTGAGGCTTTTATTCTCACTAATTGGCTGATCTAAGTCATGAAGGAAAAGCATTAATAAATGCAAATTATAACAGAAGATGCTCAGAAATAGCATATTTATTTCCATATTTCACTACAGCCACTAAAGGGAACCGCAGAGTGCATGTAAATGTGTTTGTCTCTGATGGAGTCAAGGTCTGTTCCTCCTGCTGCGAGGAGCAGAAAGTGTCACTTTATTTCCAAACGGCAGTGAAGCTTCTGGAAACATGTTGAATGTGAACTGGAATGCAGGAACCACGCGGGGATTAGGCAATACCAGGCAGCTGCCTAGGGACCCAAGTTCCTGTTCCTGGGGGCCCCATAAAACTCTGTTTCCATGTATGGTTAATACAACTATTCCTTATTTTTGAACAGCAATTATGTTTTTCATAAAAATCCTTTGGCTAAAATGCCATCAGAACGCTGATAATATTAAGTGTGTCTCAGCCCCCCCCTTCAGTGTCCACCATATTGGATCAGTCCATTTGCTGCACATGTTCAGAAAGGTCCAAACAGACAGCAGCAAACCATTTGAAAAACAAACGATGCAAAGAGCAGTGTTGCCAACTTAGCGCTTTAGTCGCTATATTTAGCCACTTTTCAGACCCCTCTAGCACTTTGATTTCTAAAAAGCGCCTAGCGCCAAATCTAGAGACTTTTTTCTGCTACTGGAGACTTTGGAGACAACATCTAAAAGCAGCGAACTCTGCTCTCCAGAGCGAGTAGATTGGTAACCCCGCCTCCTGCTCTCCTCTATCTTGTCTGCTGTCATGATTCATGCAGCTATTATTTCATCCAAATGAAAAATGGAGAACAGATAAGCAGATCATGGCTTGTCTACAGTGAAAAGAAGGACTGGGTTATTTACTTTGGCCTTTTTGGAAACACAGGAAGGAGCAATCAGCTAAGTGAGCTTAGTGCTTGGAAAAAATCTTTCATTCCTTTAGAGACAGCATGAAAAGTCAGCTGAGTACAAAACATAGAGAGGAAAACAAGAAGAAAAGGGACAAGAAGAGAGGGACACAACCTAGAACAGATAATGGATGTCTATTCTATTAACATTTCTCTATCTGGAGAATGGGGCTGTTCTATGTGTTGTCTTCTCAATTCAGAGGGCCCCCTGCCTGTCTTTGCCTAGGGCCCCACATTTCCTTAATCAGCCCCTGTCAGGAACTATTTGGTATTTACTGATATACTTCATTGTTTAATCAAAAAAGGTTTTTCTGGATTATTTTACATCCACTTTTGGATTTTTTTCCTCCAGTTTTCAGTGATAATATAGTAAAAAGGAAGAAGTTGTCTTTTCCTGTCAGCCAATCAAACGTCAGCTTTTCTATGGAAGGATCAGGATCAGTTAAAAGATGAAATGTATTTTAAAAATGACTGATTATTTAATGTCATGATTCAAAAGCTATATTTATTTACTAACTTTTGCATTTAAAAATTGTATGATTTGATTATTTAAAGATGTATTAGAGAAAAAAAATAGTATGTTTATTTCGTTCATTTATTTATAGATTTACATATTTAATGCTGTATTTATTTGTTTCATTTTGTCCCCCTAACCCTCCGTACCCCCCATGCTTGGTTATCTTCTCTCGATGTTTTTTATTTAATCCAGCTTTAAAGTAAAAAGAAGCAGAATTAAGAGCTGTGACAGATTCAGCACCATGGACAGAGCCTCCAACCCCTCCGCTCTCCATGGTGGATTCCTCTGAGCTCTTAGCTGCTGTTAGATTCTCCTGGGAGAACGTCGGCCCTCTCAGAGTGCCTCTGTGATCTGAGAAGGAAATGATCTCAGTCTATTTCCTGTAAAGTTAGATCTGCTGATTGTAGAAATCTTCACTGTTCCGTTATGTTTCCTTCTTGATGGCCTCAGATCACGCCATCGTTTACGGGAACAGCCTGGATGTCTACATCACCGTACAGACGCTCCTCAGTCTGGGCATCCCTGGACCCCGCATCCACCTAACCCTCCCCCCCTCAGCGCCAGGCGTCTCCTACCTCCCAGACGCCTCCGTGGAGAAGGCTGTGGAGGAGTCCATGAGGACGGCCCAGGTCCAGGTCCACCAGAACTGCATCCTGGCTCAGATAAACGACGGGGGGCCGCCCGACCCCATCACATCCGTATCCTTCACCACCGACTCAGAGCCTCTCCATCTGCAGTGTGGAGTAAGTTCCCTTTTTTAGGTGAGGTGGACCCGCTCTTTCAGAACAAATCGCAACCTGAACAGCGGTGCTGAGCCGTCCAACTGGTAACGTTCATCACTGAGGAGTTCAGAACCGATTCGGAAGTTCAGAACCCATCCAGGAGTTCAGATCTGTTCTGTTATTGTTATATAAAAAAGGAAGAGAATCTTGTTTCTTATTTTTTAGGATTTTTTATTTAATTCACCTTGTTGTGTGTAAAGGCACAGAGGGCCATAAACTAAAAACCTTCATCTGGTCCTTTATAGACCTTGAAACTTGGCCAATCATCACAAACCGAGGAATTCAGATTCCTCCATCTGAGGCCAACAGGCAGCTGTTTGTCGCAATAATCTATATTTTTAATTTTATCCAGATGGGATTATATTTAAGCATCACTGACACATCTATTACTGCTGTGTCCATCTAAGCAAGTCTTCCACTCTTAGATTGAAACAAAGTCTTTTTTATCCTTTTTTGAAATTGATATACTAATCAAGAACAGATTATTAGACTATTAATCTTTTGAGATTCTCCTCAGATTAAATGCAATAATCAGCCACTACAGTTTCAAGAATATCTATAATATTTAAACCCGTCTGTTTCCTGGATGTTTCTATCTGCTGAGTGAAGAACCTGGTTAGTTTGAAAGTGTTTTATGAATAAAGATGGTGGTACAGTCAGAGATCCACCGTCTGTTTCTACTGATTTCTGCTGGATCTTCTCCTCCCAGGTCTTCATCAACCTCTCCAATAAAAGGGTGGACCATGACAGCCACCAGAGCATCACTGGTTGCTTCCTGCCCTTTCTTGACCGACTGTTGATAACCAGCCGCTTCCTGACCTGCGACGCCTCAATCTACGCCGCCGGGCCCCTCACCAAGTTCTACTGTAGACACTACTCAGACGAATGGACCCACTCCAGCTTCAGCTCCAAGGAGGTGGGCCGGGACCTGGCAGCCGTGCTGCTGTGCCTGCTGGATCCGACCCGGGCGGCGCCGCAGGAGCCCCCGTCCGAGGCAGATCTTCTGATCCCGCTTTACAAACAACCTAAGATCCAAGGTCCGTCCTCACTCTTAACTGAGGTGCTTGATGAACTCCTGCAGGGTTCTGATCCGATCTCAGGACCCAGAACAAGTCCAGGGTCTCTGACTGTGTTTTAGTGGATTATAAAAGCCTCCTTCCACCCACAGCCCTGTTGTTATGATGCAGGCTCAGTCCACCGCGGGCGGCTTTGTTCTGCAGAGTCACCAAGGCCGCTCCGTAGGTTCCAACAACAGAGCAGCCTCTCTGCGCTGTCCTTCTCACACGCATGGCCTTTTCACAGCCACATCACCGCCTGTTATCTGAGTTTATTACCTCTGCCCGTCGGGCTGAGTGGGAGGACTATTGTCCGTCTCTGCAGCTTCAGATTCACGTTTCTCAGCAACAGAGGCTTCATTTCTGCACACATTCATTCCGTTAAATCCTAAACCATCTATTGGCTCTGATTAAACGCTTTATCCTCTAAAGAGCAGAAAACAGAAGACATCTGTTCTTCATGGAGCTTTTCATGTCTTCTCTTTCTCAGGAGGGACTCTTCCTGGTGGACATCACTTCCTGCATGTGACCAAACCGTCTCCGAGCATCCGGACGGGTCCTCCTGTCCAACGTGTGAGTTCCTCGTTAAGCGCATGGTGACCCGGTTTGTTCTGTTTAATCCCTGCCAGCGAAGAACCACCACCTATGACCAAACCTCAGTTTCCAAACGTTCCAACGCCTCCGATTCTCAATCAATCATTTAATCAATTAACTTTATTAATACCTGTAGGCTAATTTGTTTATGGTGAGATTAGTCTGCTTTCATTTCATATTCATATTGTAGCAACAGTTTAAATAAGTAGAATAACAATAAAAGATAACAAACTTAAAATGTTCAGATTGCATCAGGACAACTGCTGCCATCTGCTTCCATATTAGAGTTTGGGAATCTGAGGCAACATGAGCAAAGCTGGTTTCTAACACTTTGTGTTTTGGCGCCAGATATCTGTGGCGCAGCAGGAGAGGCCTGAGCTGTTCAGTGGATGAGCAGAGTTAGAACAGGAATCTATTCATCATTCTGCTTCATTCTATCTCTATTCTCCCACTCTGCAGAATCTGTTAGTTCAATCTCTAACGTTCTGCTCTCTCTGCTTTTTCTCATAGTAGCTTCATCTGGTCTGTTCCTGTTTGGCTGTGACTCCATCCTGGAGAGAAATATCAGCTGTGCTGCTGCCATCAACACCTTTGTTTCTAGATGTTGGAGCTTGGCCTGTTTTCCAGTGTAGTCCTGTTTCTCTGACTGTGACTAACTGGATGTGCTCTCTTCATCTTCTGACATGGGAGCTGGCTCGGAGCTCGTCTGCCTGGCTGTGTGTTTCCTGGACGGAAGTGCACAAGAAAAATCACTGCATGAGGAAAACTAATTTCACTTTTAATATATGGCTTATCTTTATATAAACTATGCAGTCCTTTAGTAAAAAATACCTAACAGAATTCAGAAGAACAATTTTATACCTTAACACACCTGTAAGAGTAGTGGGGGACACAGTCAGTAAACACACACAGGCTTTTAGATCCTCTAAAGGCCTGGTTATCCTCCTGCAGCCGTGCGTCGCAGTGAGCTTGTAGCAGATAAGACCAACATTGAAGCGTGGTCTGTGCTGCGTTATTCCACGCCACAACGCCAGAGGGCCAATCAGGAGCTAGCTGTGGGTCTAGATACGGCCGTGGCGGTGAGGAAGTGGGATCCAGGTGGAAAAAGGGTCCCAGCGTTCTAAAGCACCATGCTCGTTTTCGTTTTCCACAATGGCGGTCAGACAAACAAACCAGCCGGTAAGGAACCAAACAGGTAATACGCATAGCTTAGAGCGGATGGAGATTTGACCAATCAGAGGCCTCCTGTCTGCGCTCACCTACAGCTTTGGAGAGGTGCAGCAGAGTGCCTGCGGAAGGGGCGGGGCATATCTGCGTTAACTGCGACACACGCAGACGACCTGGTTTCTAAGCATAAACCAGCCTTCAGTTTCCTGCAGCAGATCATAAAATATGCAAATGAGGGAAATTTCTGTCAAATTTGAAGAAATAAATGGTGATTTTCCCTGGCCAAGACAAGCATAAATATATTCAGCAGTGCGTTAGCAATGATATGGTTACCTTTATATCCACTTTAAGACAGAGTAATTTATGCTAGCAGGCAGGGAGCATCGCAACACATCTTACCGATGCTAAAGCTTCCAGAGTTTAGCCGGACAGACAGAGCTACGCCACTATCGCATTGTTGTGTACCAGTAATTAAACCGGTGACAAAGGAGAGAAAAAAAAAACACATTCAATTTAACACTGATTTTACATGGAAAATATTACGCATAGGGTTTGAGAATATATATAGGGTTTGTACTATGTGCAACATATTGACACAGCAACATTGGCTCTACTGTGACGATTCAGGGTGAAGGCATCATGACTGGACGACCCGAGACCGGGAACTACTTCAGCCTTCATCTGAGCCCCCTGGAGACGGGGGAGACCATCACCTGTCTGTCCCTGAAGCCCCTCCCCGTCTCCAACTACCTGAATCTGTTTGGGAAGCACCAGGAGCTGCTGGGCCAACTTCTGAACCGCTACCGACAGGGCCTGGTCCAGGACCTTTACAGGTGGGACAGGAACGGTTCGGTCACTGTATGAGGAGTGACCAAGTTACTGTGGCCTAAACCTATGAACCAATCAGTGTCTGAACTATAATTCTTTAGTCAAATCCAACCAACAATGGTTCAGTGTATTCTCATTATCAGTTCGTATGAAATCGTACGAAAAGTTATGCACAGTAATTCCGTACGTTTTTGATGTTTTTTTCATCGTATTTCGTCATATTTTTACGTCTTGCCTCGAGACAAGATATCCTTGCGCATGCGCATCTTACGCACCATTCAATAACATAGAATTTAACATACAATTAACCCTGACCCTAAGATACAAAACAGCAAGCAACCTAGTTAGAGACATCAAGAAGTAATTATTGCACTGTTTTTCCCAGTTTTACGTCCGTCCGCGGATCTGCTTTTTTCGTCTGTCTGCCTGCGCATGCGCACTGATCTGTATTTTCAAGGAACAACGTCAAAAACTTACGAAATACTGTGCATAACTTTTCGTATGATTTCATACGAACTGATAATGAGAATATGTTGAATGGTTAGAACCAGGATCTATATCTGATCTTGAAGCAGAGCCAAGCAGTAAATCCCTTATCCAGAAGGTGGTCATACACAGGTTGGCGGGCGGAGGGCTCACACATCCTAGTGGTTAGACAAGAGGTCACGGACAAGGTCAGAGAAACAGGCTGGCAATCAATTTCCAAAAACAAAAACTAATGAGATGTCCAACAGAGGTACGGCTAAAGACGAGAACAAGTTAAAAAATTTGGTACTGCCGACAAAATAACGCTGGACAGTGACTAGCACGAAGGCTTTCATTAATCTGGCAACAAGAGCATGTGTATATGGAAGCTGAAGAATGAGGTCAAAGAGATAAATGACTGAATTGCCTGCAGGATGAGAAACACAAGAGGAACAGATTATCTTTACTGGTGAGGGTATAAAAACATGCAGACAGTCATGTAGGAGTCATACTGACCCACCTGAACTGATGAGCTCCTGAAAACACCAGAAATGTCTTCAGCACCACAGCAGATGTGGAACAGCTTTCTGTAGAGGCAGCAGCATCTCAGGCTGCTCTCTTTGTCTCCATTAGTGTTTGTCAAACAGCAGGTGACCTGCTTCTGAGGTTTCAACACATGACCTCCCACCCCCCCCCAAACACAAACCTCCTAATCTGTTTATGCAGCTCCCTGATCCGTCAGGGGAGGCGGGACAAAGCTGAGCTTGGACGGCTTTGCTGAGTCACAAAGTTACAGAGGAGCTAGAACAGTCCATCTGTGGGAACCTCAACATTTACTGTTTGATTCTAGACAGTCTAACTCTATACTGCAGAAACCTCTGTGGAAGAAATTATTAGAAAGATTGCAGCAGAAAAAGTTTTTCATTGTTTTAATCGGGACGGAGAGGAGCAGAATGAAACCCATACATGTTTCTATACTGTATATATTCCATATAGAAGAACCAAACCCAAATATGTTGCTTTTAACTGATCCTTCAGACCAGGTCAGAACCATCAGAATGCTCTAGAACCCGTAGAACAGACTTTTGCTTGGTTCGGTTCGCTGTTCCTCCGGACTTTGGGCAGATGCTTGGATCATGCAGGAAGTCTAAAAGGGTTTCCTGACTCCTTCTCTTCCAGCTTCTTCCAGCAGAGCTGCTGTTTGCCTGTTTTCCACGACAGGTTCTCCGACCTCCATCAGAGGATGATGAAGATGATGTCACCTGAGCAGAAGGTCCGTACCTTTCATTCCTCACTCACAGTTGTGGTGTTTTCCCATCCCCATTCCTTCTCTTCATGCCTTCTAACCTTCTTCTGTCATCATTTAAAGAAGAAGATCATTTTCCTTAATCTCTTTAGATCTTGTATTCTCTGTCTGCAGGACGGTGACGTTGAGGATGACTCACCCTGCCTTCCTCAGGCCGGTCCGAGTGACGCAGACCGACGGGCGGCTCTGAGGAGCAGCGCTCTGAAGTTCCTGCTGGATAACAGGAACCTGCTGCCCATGTTCTCCATCCCAGAGCAAACCAGATCTTTAAGAGAGAAACTGTAGGAGCCAATCAGTGGTCAGTTCAACGTTACCAATAAAAAGGTTAAAACATTTATACATGTGTGGTTTTTAAATGATTCTTTTCAAACATTCAAACAGGGAACCTCTGATGCAGCCTCTGGTTTTTGGGCTTCCTGCTCGCTGTCATCCACTGACAGCTGTTAGCAGAGGAGGCAGTTATGCTGGAAGCAGCGCTACCTTCAGCAGGTCTAGCGCCCCTAGTGGCTCAAAGTTACAGCGTGTTGCTCTAATGCAAGGGTGTAACTTTGTAATGAAAGATGGTGGGGGCTCTCAGGTGGGGGCTGATGGATATGGAGGATAAAAAGTGCCAAAATTAAATAAATACAGCATTAAATAAATAAAATGTGTCAATAATTATTTAAATGTAGAATTAAATAAATGTGTCATTCATTAATTAAAACCACGTCACTAATATAAAGTGCCACAATTAAATAAATAAATACAGCGATAAACAATGAATTAAATGTGTAATTCATTAAATAAATAAGTAATTAAATATATAAATGTGTCATTAATTTAATAAAAATACATCTCCCATCAAAGTTAGGGGGCGGGGTTATCTAACACCTGATTGGTCACCCTGCACATTAAGGCGAAGCAAATCGATTACAGAGACTCGATTCACGTTAACCCCGCCCCCTAACTTTGATGGGTGAGTTTGACAGATTCTTTTAATGGTTTCGATGCACTGCGACACAGGACCATGAAATAATTAAATGCACACTGAAATAATTAGATATATATTTTTTTAATAAAATGAAGATGTATTTTATTAAATTAATGACACATCTATATATTTAATTCCTTATTTATTTAATGAATTACACATTTAATTAATTGTTTAAAAAGTTTAAATTGACTCCATTCTTCAATAATTTCTTAAAACATTAACGAAATTACTGCACTGAAGCAAAGCTTTAAGAGCTAATTCATTTTTAAATCCTAATTTCATCATCATTAAATTCTTTCTTCTGCTGCTTTTGCTTGAATTTCTTTGTAGACAGCGTGATTTTTATTATTCTTCAATATCTAGAAGAAAATTTGTATTTTAGATTCTTTCTATCATCTTCCTGTTAGATCCAGAATATACCTAACCTGACTCCGCCAGATGGATTTGCTCCTCATATCCATCTGGAAACCTTCCGTTGAAGTAATTTTGGGAAGGGGCGAAAATACTGGTTAGCTGATTGGCCTATGTTGGTGATAGACGGGCCAAATAAACCAATCAGATCAACGAGGCATATGACGTACTAACAGAGCGACGACGAAGAGGAGCCAATTGATAGATCAAACTCTTGGTGAAACCAGTCGGGAGAAGAGCAAAAACATCTTTTCCTCTGAGAAAAGCCTCCAGAGCAGTGTTTTGCTCTTCTTTCAGTGAAGAAATACTCTGTAATTCCGATAAAACTTGCTCGATAGCCACGCTAACGCTAGTTTCATCGGCAGAAGCCGCCATGTTCTTTAGACTGAACTGTCGCGCTTCTCGTTGCGTCACACCTCACCCCGCCTCAAAGCCAACGCTGATTGGACGTTCGTTTGGTGAACGGCTCCAAATTTTCTTCAACGGAGAGTCTCCAGACTGATTAGCGAGTGAAACCTTGAAAGCTCGCGAGATCAGGATGGTCTCACCAGGCTAGAAATATATCAAGAACTTCCCGTAATGGCGCTGTAACAACTTGACTATTTAGCCAGTGTATGCCAACGTACAAAAAATTTCTCAAAACACTGGCATACGTTGAATTAAAAAAGATAATAACGAATTTAAACAATGTTTTCTAAAGCTTCTTGCATTATAATACTAACTTGTATAAATTTATAATCTGTTGCTGTTTTTAGCTTAAAAAAATAACTCCAGATGTCTAACAAACAGATTTTTCGGTGACATCTGTAATTTTTTTTTAACCAAACTGTCTCCTAACTTTTACTTAAAGCTACAGTGTGTAACTTTTAGCGACATCTAGCGGTCAGACTGCAGACCGCAGCAACATGAACGTCTCCCCCCCACCGCTTCTCCCCCCCAACAGTACGACGAGCGTTACGGGACAAAATGTCTTCCACGACGTCCGCATCACCTACCTTCTCAAGTGATGAGGTTTGTTTACATAGATAATTTTACAGAAAGTATTTCATTAGTCTGTGTAGGGTATAGATTTCATGTAGACTTAAGATAATAAATATACCCGTTATTTTTTCTACATCGTTGTGACGTTTTGGCGATCTCGCAATCGCTAGTTTGTTGGCTCTGCGCTGCCGTAGCGCAAAGATGTCTGCCTCCATGGCTGCGAGACCCGCTCCTATGTAATTATAAATAACGAATTCTAAGGCAACGCAAATATTAAGGTTAAGAGGCTGAGCTCGTAGATGATGATAAATAACATAGTTATGTATAATATATTACATTTCTGACTGTATATCCCTGTAATTATTACACACTGTAGCTTTAAACATCGAAGTAGATGCAGGTTTATATTCAGAGTGCTGGTAAGTCTCTCATCCAAACACGTAGTGACTCTGACCGCAGTGAAATGAGACGACAAATCAGATGATTGAAAGCTACAGATCTGATGATGTAACACCGAGAGGCGAGAGGCGGGAGCAGACTCAAACCGCTGTGAACACAGATAGCTGCACCCAACCTGTTAGCTTTGGATGAACTGGAGATTACTGGTGGGGACATGTCCACACCAGTCCTTCAGAAAGTTACGCCTGTTCTCTAATGAGAAGAAAGAGATGGAGGACCACCTGCTGAGCTTCAGTAGGCGACCAGGATCTGAACCAGTAGTTCTGCAGGTTTAATCAGACCCCATCCACCCCCCCACCCCCCAGCTCCAGACTCCCTGCTGCTCTTCATCCAACACTTTCACTTCCTTGGCCTCCATTTCACTGCTGCTCCATAGAAACTGTTCAGTTCTGGTTCTGTTAGATCAGGCCCGTCTCTAGAACCCGTTACAGTCACTTTCTCTGCAGTAGCTACCATGTTGAAAGGGGAGGGGGGGGGGGGAGTGAACAGCGTTCAGCTGTATGCTAATGAGGCTGAGCTGTCCACACACCCACAGCATATGTCTGAACTGGTTCAGGCTGCTGGTGTCTGAACACCGACTCACAGACCTTCAGGCTGCTGAACGGATCGCAGGTTCTGTGTGTTCTGGTCAGACGTCAGTCCGAACAAACGTCTCTGACATGTTTAAACACCCGAGTCCAGCAGGGACCAGAACCAGGTTCAGAACCAGAACCAACCTGCTGAAAGGACACAGAGCAGAACCGGAGAGACTCATCTAAAGAAAACGCTGCTCCAACTTTAATGGATGGATTCCCTTGGTAACAAGCAGAGGTGGATGAAGGTGGAGGTGCATGAAACAAATGGAGCAGTATGGCAATAGCCATACCGCTACACTGTGAAAGTAAAATCTGTTGGGCGGATGAAGTACTCAACTGTAGTTATAAAACTATGAAAACTATGAAATTAAAGTAAAAGTAAGTAATGTAGAAAAATGTTCATTTAATAGGGTAGAGCAGTAAAGCTTCTGGCCTTAACATTTGTTTCCTGCATTTCTTGCACCGAACCCCCCCCCCCCCCCCCCCCTTCAGTGTCCACCATATTGGATCAGTCCATTTGCTGCACATGTTCAGAAAGGTCCAAACAGACAGCAGCAAACCATTTGAAAACAAACCATGCAAAGAGCAGTGTTGCCAACTTAGCGCTTTAGTCGCTATATTTAGCCACTTTTCAGACCCCTCTAGCACTTTGATTTCTAAAAAGCTCCTAGCGCCAAATCTAGAGACTTTTTTCTGCTACTGGAGACTTTGGAGACAACATCTAAAAGCAGCGAACTCTGCTCTCCAGAGCCAGTAGATTGGTAACCCCGCCTCCTGCTCTCCTCTATCTTGTCTGCTGTCATGATTCATGCAGCTATTATTTCATCCAAATGAAAAATGGAGAACAGAGAAGCAGATCATGGCTTGTCTACAGTGAAAAGAAGGACTGGGTTATTTACTTTGGCCTTTTTGGAAACACAGGAAGGAGCAATCAGCTAAGTGAGCTTAGTGCTTGGAAAAAATCTTTCATTCCTTTAGAGACAGCATGAAAAGTCAGCTGAGTACAAAACATAGAGAGGAAAACAAGAAGAAAAGGGACAAGAAGAGAGGGACACAACCTAGAACAGATAATGGATGTCTATTCTATTAACATTTCTCTATCTGGAGAATGTTCTATGTGTTGTCTTCTCAGTTCACAGGGGCCCCTGCCTGTCTTTACCTAGGGCCCCAAATTTCCAAAATCTGCCCCTGAATAATCATGAATACTTCTAACAATAAGTTGGATCAACTTGTTACTGGTTGAAGTGATTCATTGGGAGAAGCAGAGGTTCTATGGAACCGCCATCTGACTTCAGCAGCGCAGAAGGTCCCAGCAGGAACCCAGAGGAACTGGGAGAGGATTTAGGTTCCTGAACCGGAATCAGGTCCGACGCGGATCAGATCAGCAGCGAGCCGCTACTACTGGCTCTGATTTGTTTCCACCCACACATAATCTGGCTTTGCCCCATTTGGAGACTGAAAGCGCGCGTTGATTACGCACAGCACGCGCCATGAGGGGGGTGGGGGGTGTCTGTGTGTGTGTTTGTGGGGGGGGGGGGGTCAACTGTGCAATTTCCTTTCCAATCAGGAGGAGCTGCAGCTCAGCTTCCATTGTGATGCAAAGCAGGTTCCCTCCTCTGCTCGTTAATTATGTATGTGTGAAAGACGGAGTTAACTGTCAGCGCGGCCCCCGGGCTGCGGGGCCCCTGCGGGGCCAGTGGGTCCAGCTCAGGGTTCGGTTTGTGAAACGCCCTCATCGATCCTGAAGCCTGACGCAGAATTAGACCTTTTCTGAATAAAGCTGATTTGATTTTAAAGACATTTCTGCTCAGTTTGAGTCCAAAGTTTAACGGGAACCCACCCGGAGCAGGACACGCGTGGATTTCTATAGAAAGTCATCAGACCGTGAAAGCAGGAGGCTGCTGGCGTGTGTCGTAGGGGGGAGGGGGGGCTAATAAAACCCCTCAGGTACATCTGCTTTCCAATCTGCAAACATCCCCCCCCCCCCCCCCTCCCACACTCACTCCCCAAATCCACGGGGATCAGGGCCGCTCCTGATTGGTCGGTGGGGAGGTTGGGAGCGGTGTCATCATGTGGACTTAAAAACAGTGCAGCTATGTTGATCTGAGAACAACAGTGGATCAGAACCGGAGGAAGGAGCGGAAACACGCAGCCGATGTTTGGCTTTTACGCGCAGCTCTTATTTGATTCCCGCAGCGAACCTGAAGCGCCTCCATCTTCCCGTCCGGACCGAACATGCCCAGAGGCTTCCTGGTGAAGAGGAACAAGAGAACCACCCCGGTGTCCTACCGGGTCCGCTCGGAGGAGGAGGAGGAGGCGGAGCGCGCTGCCGCCGATGCGCCTCCGCCGCGCCTTTCCTTCATCCCCCCGCGCGCTCAGACCGGCGGAGCGGCGCCCGCTGCTCCGGCATCACATCCGGCCGCCAAGCCGGTGCAGTTCGGGAATCCGGAGACGGTGTGCCAGGCTCTCTACAGCCCCACTCGACCCGTCAGCCAGGACCATGAGCGCGCCTCGGAGCGGCGCTTCAGCCTCGGCTCCCCGGTCTCCGCAGAGTCCTTCCCCACGCCGGCTGCTCTCCCCGCGCTGGACCACCTGTTCGCCCCCATCGATCTGAAGATCGGTTCCGGAGCTCTCCCCACGGCAGGGGCCAAGAGGCCGGCGGGCGACGCGGAGCGAAGAGCCAAGGCGCCCCCCTCCAAGAAGACCAAAGCCATCCGGAAACTGCACTTTGAGGACGACGTCACCACGTCCCCGGTCCTGGGGCTGAAGATCAAGGAGGCTCCGCTGGAGCAGAAGCCGACCGGCGGTGAGCGCTCCCTCCTGGATGGGTTTGTCTGCCAGCTGTGCCGCGAATCCTACCAGGACCCGTTCTCCCTGGCGCAGCACAAATGCTCCAGGATAGTTCGGGTCGAGTACCGCTGTCCCGAGTGCGACAAGGTGTTCAGCTGCCCGGCCAACCTGGCCTCCCACCGGCGCTGGCACAAACCCAAGCCGCAGAGCGGAGCGCACAGCGAGCCGGCGGCATCCGGCAAGGACTGCAGCGACAGAGACTCATCCAGCCCCGAACCGTCCGAGTCCGGTTCGGAGGACGGACTGTATGACTGCCCTCAGTGCGGGAAAAGGTTCAAGCGCCAGGCGTACCTGAGGAAGCACCTGGCGTCTCACCAGAAACCCGCAGAGCCGCAGCAGGACCACAAGGAGCCGCAAGGCTGCGGGATCAGCGCGGGCCCGCTCAACCTCAGCGCGTCCACCGGACACGCGTGTCCCGTGTGCGGGGAAAGCTTCAGCAGCAGAGGCGGCCAGGAGCGCCACCTCCGCCTGCTGCACTCCGCCCAGGTGTTTCCCTGCAAATACTGCCCCGCCCTGTTCCACAGCTCGCCGGGACTCACCCGACACATCAACAAGTGCCACCCGTCCGAGAGCCGCCAGGTGATCCTGCTGCAGGTGCCGCTGCGCCCCGCCTGCTGAGGCCGGGAACGATCACGGGAATTTTTCCCACTTTTCCTAAATTTTGCCTTTTTTTTTTTTTTTTTTTCTTTTGCAGCTTTTCTCTGAGAGGAAACTCAGAGCTGCTGGGACAGGGTGCCTTGCTCATGGGCACTTTCCTCCGATTGGGGGAAACTTTAGAATCTGCACAAGTGCTATTAGCTGGTAGACCTAAGAGAGGTCCGGTCCAAATCGATCCGGTCTGGTTCTGGACAGGCCTGTTCCCATCACTGAGTAGCTTTAATAGGACTGGATCAGTAGCTGCAGCAGGCAGAGGATAGAGTAGCTGTACCGCTTCTTCACTTAGAGCCGCCTCCTGCTGTCAAACCGCCTTAAAACATCACTTTTATTTATTAATTATTTATTGCTGTAATCAGTTGAGTTGTCTTGGGGCTGTGATGTGTTCAAGTGTCTCTAAAACAATCAGTAATGTCATCAGCCGCTTCTGCAATCACCTTCTTTATTTATTTATTGCTCATTTCTTGTGTTTCTGTGTGTTTTGCTCTCAAACTGCTCTGGATGTTTCTGCAGTAACTTTTTGCTAAGTGTCCAAAAAACAATAAAACCAAACTGAGAATCAGATTTCCTGTTTTTCTTTCATCATTATATCCCAGTTGAGCTCTTTGATTCTTCTATCAAAGCATCTTAAGAGGAAGTTCTAGATGGAAACAATCACGCCAAAACTCATTTATCTGTTTTATTTCTAAAGGGTTTAATAAAGTGAAATTTGTTTCTATACTTTCATATTTTTGTTGTCTGACTATTGATTAAAACCCCGTACATTCTTTCTGTTTAAATAAAGAAAATTTTAAGAAAAATATAATAATAAAGATACAATGATAAACTGATTAAGATTAAATCCACATTAAATAAATTTGTTGTAATATCTTTAAATGAAGCTTAAAGAGGTTATTCACCAATAAAGTTTGATTAAAACTGAACTATTTAACTTACCAGATCATCCTTGCAGAAAAAGCAGCAGCAGCCAGTAGAAACAGACGTTCAATAAGTGAATGAATGAGAAAAAGCACCACAGCTGCCTGGTTTCATTGTTTCCATCTGATAGAAGACAAATAAAGGGCACCAAGAGGTCAAAGGTCAACCCTTAGAAGGATTTAAAGCTGTAAAGGTGTTTTTAAAGCAGCTCAAATAAGTAAAGCAACGTCAGCTGATGTTGGAAAAGGTGACCTTTTATACGATGCTGGAACCTCATTGGTTGAACCACCTCTTAGCGTGAACAGCAAACCTGTTTGCAGGTATAGATCCGTGTGTCTAGTTCTGATCAATATCATGACGTAGAACTGATGTGTGACTTCAGAGCAGAACAGGACAGTCAAAGAACAGCAGCTGATTCATAATAATTTTTCGGTCTGATAAAATTTTACATCATAAATGTCTTGAAACTGACAGAAATTCACCAGAATGTACAGAATTAAAGGCTTGGAAACATTAATCTATGAGGTAATAATCTACTGGGTGATGCTGAGGATACTGAACCGTATGCTGATGATGTTCTCCTTTACAAAATGCAAGTGTTTTATGGATTTAGTCTATTTGTGTTAATGAATAGATCATTATTTATACCTACAACTAATAAGTTCACAGTGATTTAATGGATCTAGTGTCAAAAAAATAAAAATAATAATTTTCATCGCGATCACTGAGTCTGGGAGCGGCCATCTTCCAGCAGTGACGTCACGGACGGGTTGGTCGTTGGATCGCCAACTTGAAGAGGGAGGATTTGCCATCGAACTTCTGGCCAGAGAAAAAAACCCGTAATATGTAGCCAACATTTGGAAGAAGAATGTTTTCAAGATGACTTGGATAATAGCGCGTTGTGACAAACACCAGATACAGCACTGGGACTTGATCAACAGCCGATACCGCACCGTGACGTCACTAGGTGGCAGTAGTGTTCTTTGACAAACATGGATGCCTCCAGTAAAGCACATTCAAATGAAAATGACTCTGAATTAAAAACACTGATCATTTATTGAACAGATGGAATCATTTCACATTTAAAGAACTTTCAGAAGTTTGAATTCTGAATATGAGCGACTTTTCTTTTAGTAATAATAAAAAAATGTAACTTTTTTCTATCTCACAATGGAGAAATTCCCACTGCTGGCGCCCGAGGAGCAGTGTGGGGTTAAGGGTCTTGCTCAGGGACCCAGAGTGGAGGCTGTAGGGATCAAACTGTATTTCCAACTTTCTCAGTGCACAAGCGCACTGCTCTGACCTCTAGGCCAACACTAATGCCAAAGGTTCAATATCCTATCCACAGAGATGGGAAGTGTACTCAAGTAGATTTTTCTGATATTTTTACTTTACTTCACTACTTATTTTTATGGCGACTTTTTATTTCTGCTCCTTACATTTTTACACAAATATCTGTACTTTCTACTCCTTACATTTTAAAAAATTGTCTCGTTACTTTAGTTTTGAATCATTTCAATGGAGTTACCGTTATTATTTTTCACGTCATCAATACCAAATTCAATCTAATTGGATGGGAATCTACGTTGCATTTGACGCACCGCTACAAGATGAATCGACAGATTCGGCGGTATTCATTGGCGGCAAATCATTGCAGTTTGGTGGCGGTGGCGTTAGCATAGTAGCATGGACGACGAGATGATTGAAAATGAACACAACGGAGATCTAGTCCTATTGGCAGACATCCATTTAAAATGTAGGCAACGGCATGAAAAAAGTGGTTTCTACTTTTACTTTTATACTTTAAGTAAATTTACAAGCCTGTACTTTGTTACTTTTACTTGAGTAAAGAAGTTTAATCAGTACTTCCACTTTTACCAGAGTATTTTTTAACACAAGTATCTGTACTTTTACTCAAGTACGGAAAGTGAGTACTTTTGCCATCTCTGCCTATCCATCAGCATGATGCTGCCTCCACTGTGCTTCACTGTGGGGATGATGTGTTCAGTGCTGGTTTTTCTAAACTGTGTTTTTTTCTCAGAGAAGTTTAGTTGTGGTCTCCTCTGAGTAGACCACCTTCCTCCATGTTTACTGTGTGTCCTACATTATTTTATGCCGTTAGACTCAGTTTGAACTAAGCCCAGCTGCCCTCTATATATGGATAATATGACTGTGGCGCCTTGAGGCAGCGGCCGGGAACAGCTCTCCACAGTTCTGTGATATATTAAGTTAAAGAATGGAAATGTCTTGTGTTCATAATGACAATACAGTCTCTGGATAGCAATCAGAAAACCTCTGGAGGGAGTTTTATTTTGGGGTCTCGGTTTAGAGGGGCTGCGTGATGAGCAGAACACGATTTAATATTTAGTAAAGAACAAGGATGACTGCTGTGATTTGCTCTCCTTTTACCTCTTAATGCTACTTTTTGACAGCCTGCCATATTGGAACGGGTCAACAGCTTAGAAGGGGTGTGAAACTTTTAGGTGCTTTTTAATCAGCAGAGAAGGTGCAGCAGCTGTTATAAAGATCTTATCTCACTCCGAGGTCAGCGTGGGTGGATGACAGCTGAGCAGCTTTCCAGAACCAGACCCAGCTGCAGTGATACCATCTCCGTCTGATTAGCGCGGCTCGCATTAAGCTCTAATCGCCTTGTTGGGCTGAAAGCCTCTCAGATATTTACCGAGCTGCGGGTCCCACTTGATTTTCTGATCAGATTTCAGCGCCTCTGATCAGGATGTTGGCATATGAACCGGCGGAGGAACGTTCTGCTCCTGGACTGGTCCCGGAGCAGACCTGGTTTCAGGTCTTTGTTGGAACTGTACGGGTTCTGTGTGGTATTAGCCTACTTCAAACCTGGTTCTGAATTTGGATGCTTTAGACTTTGGTCAGATTTTTCTTTTACTTTTCTTGGGTTTAAACCCATTTGGGTTAAACTCTGTAGCTACCAGATCTGCTCGGGCCCGGCGCATGCTAAAGATGTTACGCTACATGATTGGCTGAACGTTGCCACATGATGGAAAACATTGTGGTTGCCCAGACAACGATAATAACATCACACAGCATCAGTGTGCTGAGCTTCTGTAGCATTATCATGTCTAACGACAGATTATACCTGTTAGACAGTGATATAAAGAGCTGGGTAGCGTTGTGGCTAGCTGTAGCTAACAGGTTAGCCTCTTTTAGCTCGCTCAGTTAGCCACATTAAGCAACACTACTTTTAACAACCATTCATTTTCTACAAGTAAAGTAACTGTTTGATTTGTCTAAAATTTCTAGGAAAGTCATTTTTAGGATTTTCCATTTGTCCTTCCTGTTCTCAGATATTATAGCCTGGGTGCCATTCCGAACTTAGTCCCGTCCACAATGTTTGAGGTCGGGAAGTTCCGTCTGGCATTGCTCAGTAGTAGCGCGAGTATGCTCGCACAATATCTGGCGGGCCAATCAAATTGTCAGGGCGGGCTTTATACGATGATGGACAAATGATCAACAGTAACGTAATCAACCACGTGACCAAAGCGCGCTTGGGTGACAACTAGTGTTGCGCCGATGCCATTTTTTGGCCCCGATACCGATACCCGATACCTGGCTGCAGGGCCGGTTCTAGCCCTTTGGTTGCCCTAGGCGAGATTGAGTTTTGCCCCCCCCCCGCTCACTTTTGCCGTGCTAAATACGAATACTGTTTTCAGCATCTGTTTAGTGCTTCATTGAGTTCAGTGAGTGGATTTGCTATAAGTATTAATAGTTTTAGAAATTGTGCTATAAGAATCAAGGTTGTGTTTAAGCATTCAGAAAAAACTGTAACTTAGCATGGAGTGATGCATAGACAAATACCAGAATAGGTTTCAGTACCTCTTATTTTAAATAATTTATTACACACTCAAAGTTAGGACTGTGCAAAAACACTTTTAACCATCTGTAAGGACACTTAGGTAAAGTATAACTAAAAAACTGGATTGAATCATTGAATGAATTTATTTCAGACAATTAACAAATTTAACACACATTAAACAAATATTAAATAAATCAATTTCAGAAATTACCAAATAACA